CAACAAGGGAGGCCCTGGAGAAGCAGGCGCGGGGCAGGAGGCCCGCAGCTTCCTATTCTTGGCACGTCTGTGGCTTTCATTTTCCAGGAGCACAAAGTGTTGGGGGGGGCAATACAATTGTAGTACCATTTTAATTTGCAAAAAAAAAAAGGTGAAACATTTACAGAAGGCAAAAACCAGAGAAGTTTAGATCTTTTTAACCTCTTTTATACTAAGACTATAACTTTCATAATGAGGAAACAACTATTTTAAAAACAAAAAGGATACAAAACATAAGCGAAAGCAAACATCTGGTATTAGTTTTTTGGATTTTGGTCTTATCTTTCGGTATTGGGTTCAAACTCATGACCTCACCCCTGCCAGGCAGGCATGTGTGCCACTGGATTCTTTTCTCATTTATTTTTCCCTGCTGTTTTTGTTTTTTCTTTTAAGACAAGGTCTCGCTCTGTGTCCAGGCTGGCCTGGGACTCACTCTGTAGTCCAGGCTGCCTGTCATTGACCCTCCTGCCTCAGCCTCCTGAGTGCCAAGATCACAGGCCCGCGCCATGCCCGGCCTTGACTCCTAGCCCTTTCCCTTGGCACTGGTCCCGAGTGGGCCTGTCCTGAGCAGCCAGTTCCCGTCCCTGGCCAGTCACAGTGGTCACTCCAGGCCACGCAGGGTTAGGGTTAGGGTTAGGGTTGGGTGCTGGGCCTGCGGTGGATGCTGCCACCTAGTGGTGAGACGCGTGGAGTACACGTCGCTGCGCTCTGTGACCCGCAGGAGGGACCTGCGCAGGGCCCTGGCTCACAGCGCAGACGCCAGGAGCCTGGCATAGAAGCACCCAAGGAGCAGGACGCCCGGGCCTGTCCGGAGAAAGCTGGGTTGCAGACACACGTGGGCATTTCGCATCTCATTCATTGTTAGTTCTTTTGTTTGCTTCATGAGACAGGGTCTCACTGTGTAGTGCAGGCTAGCCTTGAACTCACTGCAATCCTCCTGCCTCAGCCTCCTGAGTACTGAGATGACAGGTGTGCCTCAGCACGCCTACCCCAGTTTTATTTCTGCTACTCCACTTTTTAAAAGGATCAAAGAACTGAACAGAGTTTTCACCAAATACATATAAATGGCAACAGTGTCATTGGCAGATGCAGATGGAAGCCTCACTGGGTCACCGAAATTGTTAAGCTACAGCGAGCAAAATTAAATGCTGGGCAAAGCCAAGCATCGGCCAGGATAAGAAAGGGACCCTTCCTGCATTGCCTGCTTAGAAAAATGGCGATTTTTAAAAAGTTAATGTAAAGCCAGGCATGGTGGAACAAATCTGGAATCCTGGCACTTTGAGGGCTGAGACAAGAGGATTGTTGTGAGTTCAAGACCAGCCTGGGCTACAAAGTGAGCTCAAGGCCAGCCTGAACTGCATAGTGAGACCCTGCTTCAAAAAGACAAAAACAAAACAAAAAAAAAAGTAAAAAATCTAAAGGCTGGGTTGTAGCCCAGTGCGAAGCTCTGGGCTCAAGCCCCAGTATTACAAACCAAACCAGACCAAACCAGACCACACTGAAAGTTAGCAAGGATTTACCACATGAGGTAGCAATTCCTGGCTGAATCACCAAGAGAATCCTAAATATGGATCTGCAAAACGACTCCTGGGATTGTTATAGCAGTGTCTTGGTTACTTTTCTCTTGTTGCTGGAGTGAAATACCAGGCACCCAAAATGAAGGGAAGGTTTGTTTAGCACACAGTTTGTGGAGGTTTCAGTCCATACTCAGCTGGCTCCAGGGCAGGGTGGCATGGCACAGGGGCAGCACTTCAAGGCAGTAGCCAGCAAAGGCAGCCACAGCAAAAGTGGGGAGAACAAGCCTCTTCTCCTGCCTTAGGTTGTAAGCAGGCCACCATCCCCACCCCACAAACTCAGGGCGGGTGCAGCACTCACACCACCTCTGTGGGCTCCTCTTGCACAGGATGAGATGTTTACACAGTGAGGACCCTGGCTCCCTGCTGAGTCTCTTAGTTAAACCTCCTCAGGTTGACACAGTGTATCAACCATGATAAAGTGTAGGGGTGCTGTGAAATACTACTCCACAGTGAAAAGAAACAGGCCGTAGGTAACAGGCTGCATGCAGGACCTTGGAAACAACCTATTGCACAAAAGCAGCCAGACACAAAGGCCAGCTTTCGTTCGGGGTGGACACATGGGATATGACCCGGTGAAAAGACCAAAGGTATGATATTCAGCACCACAAAAGAAAAATAAAATAAAACCACAATTGAAATAAAGCAGAATTAGTACTAAGGTTTATATCGCACCTCGTGTATTTGGGTTAAGTAGGTCAAACCATGCTTCCTCGGATTATCTCCACTTCAGAAAGTATGGATTCCTGGCTAGCTAATTGTGAGAATTCTCTGGAAACATGCTTCTATACATTAAAAAAAAAAATCAAATGAAACCAAAAATCATGGATCAAAACCTCACTGTTGGGCTGGGCTCAGTGGCACAAGCACCTGCTTGGCAAGCACAAGGTCCTGAGTTCAATTCCTGTTACACAAAAATGTCAAGCATTATGCCAAGCATGATGGTGTATGCCTAGAATCTCATACTCAGGAGGCTGAGGCAGGAGGATCACTGTGAGTTTGAGGATAGCCTGGGCTACGTAGCGAGACCCTGTCCACCCCCAAATAAGGAAAGCAAAAGATCTTACTGTCTCTTGAGCAATCGAGGATAATGTTTCTATTTCAGTCTCATCAATTATTATCTTTTTAATTTCTCGTATTGGGAATCAAAGCCAGGGTGTCAAGGATGCCAGGCAAGTTCTCTTCTGCTCAGCTATCTCTTCAGCCCCTTTAAAATAATTTTTTTTTAATGTGAAGGCAGGATTTCCACACTACCCAGAGGAGCCTTATCAAAGTCATGACCTTCCTCCCTCAGCCTCTGGAGTAGCTGGGATCACAGGCATCGATCGCCATGTCCAGTTTAAATTTTTAGTTTTCAGACAGGATCTCACCAAGTCACCAAGTTGCCCTGGTCTGGGTTCCAACTGGCGACTGTCCTGCCTCGGCTTTGGGCAGCAGACTGCCAGTGCCTCTTCCCAAGGCTGATGGACTTTCTCAGTGGCGGCTGGGCACCTGGTCCAAGCCCAGGGGACAGAGAAGCGTGGTGGGTGGCCTCGAGCTGCATCCCAGCGGGTGCTGGTGGTTCTAAGTGTGAATCTGTTTCTGGTATTTCATGACATCTTACGCTCACAGAGACACAGTTTACCTGATCTTTGATCTCACTGGGGCTCTGCCTGGGCTCCCTGCACCTCCTCTGGGCTCTGGGGAAGTTCTCCGCACCACAGATCCCATGGTCTCACAGCTCATACGTGATGAGGGCACTGCTTGGGACCACTGTGGGCCCTCATCACCTCATACGTGATGAGGGCTCTTCTTAGGGACCTGCATGATTGTAGATGAAATCCTTTATGTATTTATTTATTTTTAACTCACCAGGGCCTTCACGCTGAGCCCACACCAGCCCTTTTCATCAGGAGACAGGGTCTCTCTGTCACTAGGTTGCCCAGACTGGGCTTGAACTTGGATCCTCCTGCCTCAGCCTCCCAGGGTACTGGGGTCACAGATGTTCCTCTGCACGGCTGCCTGAAATCCACTCCTCCTTCTCCTTCTCCTCCTCTTGTTCTTTTTGTTTTTTGAGACAGAGTCTGGACACCTAGCCCAGCCTTGCCCGTAAGTCGTGGTGATCCTCCTGCCTCAGCTTCCGGAGTGCTGGCATTGCAGGCGTACGTCTCCACCCTCGGCTTCCTGACCTCGTGGCACCTGCTGCCCCTCGAGCTGCCCAGATGGGGTCCTGCCGCACCCCTGTTGCCGGAGCCCAGCCTGGCCCGTGTCCCGTGTCCCTCGGCTTCTGGTCGCAGTCACAGAGCCTCATTGGGGCTCAGAGCCTTGGAGCTCAGCTCCTCATCCCAGAAGAAGCTGGAGGCTGAGGCAGAGTCCCAGGGTCCCCTGTCCCTGGGGCCACCGTTGCCATGGTGATTGGCTTGGCTTCTGGAGGCGCGGCTCACCCGGGGCGTGGCCAAGCCCTTCTCTAGTGGACGTTAGGGCTTCACCGCCTTGTGATGAAACGCAGTGGCGACGACTCGTCCTCAGTCCTCACTGCCATCCGCTGGGTGCGGTGAAGGGGGTCGCCTGCCCTTCCTGGGTCACCCCGGTCCCTCCCCGCTTACTGCTCACCAAGGGGAGTTGGGATGAGTGTAATAAACGCATGTTTAGCCTGCAGCGACGTTTGCCTGTAATCTAAGCACTGGGGAGGCTGGGGCAGGAGGATCGCAGGGAGCTCGAGGCCAACTGGGGCACCACAGCGAGACTCGATCTCAAAACAGACAAACAAACCCAAAAGCAAAACAAAGTAAGTAAATAACAAAACCAGAACAAAAGTACATACTGCACGAATAAATAAAACCCGTTTTGGGCATGTGGCCCAACTGCACCGAGGACTGGGAGGAAGGAGCCCCACACCGCTTCTCCTCTTCGAAAAATCTCTGAAAAACTGCTTTGCGATTGGCTGCAGAAAAGGGTTTTTTTTGTTGTTGTAAAGGGGCTTTTCTTGGTCTGTTTTTTACTATTTTCTTTTTGGCACCGGGAACCGAACTCAGGCCCTTGCGTCTGCCAGGCAGGCGCTGCGCCGCTGAGCTACATCCCCGGCCCGGAGGCAGCTCCCGCACGGCCCCTCTCCTAGGCTGCGGCTCCCACCGCCACGCAACCGCTCCAACACCGGGCGCAGATGCAGACCGCGCAGAGCCCACCGCGCACGCGCAGACGGGAGAGCTCGTCCCCGCCCTCACTCGCCGCCCTCCAGGGGGCGCCGTGCAGCCGCCGGCGCCGCTGCGCACGCGCAGACGAGAGGCCTCGTCCTGCCCTCACTTCTTCGTCCTCCAGGAGGCGCTGCGCCGCCGTCACCGCCGCCGCGCACGCGCAGACGGAGGAACGCGCCGGGCTCGCGCCTGCGCCCTCCGGGGGGCGCTGCGCCCCGCCGCCGCCGCTGCCGCTCCCCGCTGCGGACCGGGTGGCGCTGCCGCCGGGCGAGGGCGTGCGCTCGGCTCCCGGAAGCAGCGGCGGCGGCGGGGCGATGCTGCTGAAGCTGCTGCAGCGGCAGACCTACACCTGCCTGTCGCACAGGTACGGGCTGTACGTGTGCTTCGTGGGCGTCGTGGTCACCCTCGTCTCCGCCTTCCAGTTCGGAGAGGTGAGTCGCGCAGTGCCCGCGCCGGGCAACCGCGCGGGCCGCCCGGGGGACCATGCGCACCTCGCAGGCCCGGCCCGATTCGGCCCGCGCCCCGGTTCCGGGCCCTGTCCCCGCGGCCCCGGTGCTGCCGCCTCCGCCCGCCTGATTTGGGGGAGCGCGGAGCCCTGCGGGTCGGGGACAGAACGGGAGCGGACCCGCCAAGCTGGGCCGGCTGCCCCAGGGTGGCAGGTGGCTGTCTCGGACGCCGGGGCGCGGGTGTGCTGAGTATTCACCGCGCAAGCGGCCGCCACCTCCTTTTAATTGGTAATTATTTGGTTTTGTGTGTTTGCGTATGTAAATACGTCCCACTGTGCGGTGCAGGCGAGCCTTGAACTTGGCGATCCTCCTGCCTCAGCCTTCCAAGTGCTGGCATTACAGGCGTGCGCCAGAGGGTGTGTTTTAAGTCTTTTGAGGTGGGAGTGACTTCAGGGGCATCGTTATTTCAGTGAGTCTTTTATATGCAAGTCCTGGGACCAGGTCACCCCCTCATTAAGAGACCCCGGACTCTTCACACCAGTAGGATGCAGACCCTGAGACTGGCCCTGGCTGTGACTCAGCTTTGTCACCAGGAGTTCGGCTCGGGGGAGGACAGCTGTTCTGATCAGGAGGGGACTTCCTTGGGGTGGGGGAGGACACTTTGGGTCTCCGAACCGTGGTGAGGAGAGGCGCGCGGGTCACTGGTGCACACGCGTGTGTAAACTGGATCATCTCCCTGTGCGGACAGAATCCAGAACCATGGCCCCAAATTGATGTTGATGGGAAGTCAGCTGGGTCCCCAGAGGGCTCCTTCCCGGGTGGTGCCTCCTCCAATGCCCTTACCACATAACCCTTTCCTGTCTTATTGTTTTGTTTTTTGGGGGGCAGAGAAATGAGTCGGGGTTTCTCCATGCAGCCCAGGCTGGCCTCGAACTCACTAAGAGGCCCAAACTTGACTTTTCGGGATCGTCCTGCCTCAGCCTCCTGCCGAGCCCCTGTCCTGTGGTCTGAGGTCTCCTGTGGGTGAGGGCAGAGTTCAGGAAACAGAGGCAGCTGCAGTTAGCTTGGGAACAGGTTTTGGAGCTCAGGCGGAGGTGTTTGTGTTAGATCAGTTCCTCATCCTTATCTGGAGCCTGTTCCTGCCAAAGGCTACAGCCGGGCCGAGACCCACGGTCCCGGGAGCAGCCAGTCCTTGGCGGTTCCGCCCAGTTCCTCCCCTGCCCTGCTGCTGGGGCTGGGGCTGCCCCTCTGCTCTGCTTTGTGATTTCTTTTTGGTGGAAAAGGATGTTTCTTTGTTAAACAAATAATGTTTTAAAACTACTAAAAAACCAGAATCTGGTCTGGTGCCACACCTGTCATCCCCGCATGCTGGAGGCTGAGGCAGGAGGATCACTGTAAGTTCAAGGCCAGCCTGCACTGCAGAGCGAGACCCTTCTCAAGCCCTCCTCCCCCGGTGAATAAGACAGACAGCTCTTTTTACCCCAGCACCCATGGGTGCTCAGTGACTGTTTGTTGAATGAATACCCACTGCCCCTAACATTACTTGTGTACCTGCACTGCAGGAAGCCCAGTGAGGAGGGGACTGAACGAGGCACCTGGTGTGCCAGGCACCAGTGCTGGGCACAGTGTGTCCTGGCTGTGTGCATGGAGGCCGAAGCAGGAGGGCCTCTGGCAGCCATCTCCGAGCTTTACCGCGGGCCCCAGGACTGCAGTGGGGGAGGGTGTCCGTTCCCTCTGTGCCGCGCGCCGTCTGAGACCCGAGGTGTCATCCGCAGTGTCTCCCGGTGACAGGGTCTAAGGCCACGCGTCTCTTCCTGTCAGTCAGGCGGAAGCAGCTGTCCCATCCCATGACCCCAGGGCCGAGTCCTTGGGGTGACCAGTCAGTCGGGTGTGATTCACACAGCCAGGGACAGGCAGGAACAAGTGACCCTGCCAGGCCAGGCCCCACCTGTGCCACGGCGACCCGTCCCACACTTGGACTGACGCCGAGTGGCCCGATTTATTTTTCTTTACTTACTTTGGCTTTTTTGAGATGGAGTCTTGCTGCCTGGTTCAGGCTGGTCTTGGGATCCCTGTGATCTTCCTGCCTCAGCCTCCAGAGTGCGGGGACAGGTGTGCGCTTCACAGCTGGCTGAATCCTTCATGCTTTGGGGTGCAGAGGGCACAGGCCGAGTGGGGGTCTTGCCCTGCTGGGTTGTGCTGGGAGGGCCCTGGCTGTCCTGGTGCCCAGCCTGGCTGCCGGACACTCAGAAGGTCAGCTGCAGGGGTCACAGGCCTCCCAGAGAGAGCCCAGCCCAGCCTCCTGAGTGCAGGTAAGCGCGCCTGCATACTGCATCCCCGACCATACTGCAGAGAACTGTGAGGACCCTCATTCGGAGGGGCAGGAAAGCTCAGCCAGGTGGAAATGAACAAGTACACTCAATCCTGGGGTGCAGCCTGTGGTCACGGCACTCTGGAGGCTGAGGCAGGAGGACCTCAAGCCGAGTTCAAGGCCAGCCTGAAATGTACTCAGTCATGCAGTAGTCTGGAAAACACGTTGACGGAGGTCCCTGGTCCGGAGGTTTCCAGATCTGGAAGGCAGCCGAGGCCACTGTGCTGGCCATAGCCCTGATCCACCCCTGCCCCTAACACACACGTTGGGTGTCAGTCTGAGTGCATTCACGTGGCAGCCGCTGGACCCGTGCTCTGCAGGACGCCTGGGCTGCGGCTGCTGCACCTCCTGGAGAGGCTTGGCACTGGGCTCCCCTGCCCAGGGCTCCTGAGATAAAGTAGGAGGCCGGGTGCTGTGCACTGCCCCACTGCCTGCTTGGTGTGAGTCACCCTCACAAGGTGACCCAGCCTTGGGAGCTGCCGGTGTCCCCACTGTCCGCAGAAGCGGAAGCTGACATGAGCTGAGAGCTTAGCTGCCCGCTCTGGCTGCTAAGAGCCCTGGCCTGGGGGGTCTGCGTGCCCTCCTCCTCCACATCTCCTCCTGCCCCTCTCGGGAGGCCTCGCGGCAGGAACACAGGACCGGGCCTCCCTCCCTCCCCACTGCCCACCTGCGTCTGACCCTGCAGGGCACAGGACATCTTAACGGCAGGCCTCTGGGGCCCGCTGGGTGGCCCCGAGGTCACTGCCTGGCTGGTCAGGTCAGCACCTGCAGGGTAGAGCAAACAGGCAGGGAACCAGCCGAGAAGGGGGCTCGCCTCAGAGGGCCGGCACCCAGGAGAGGTCGCCTGGGCACTGTGGGAGGCTGAGCAGGAAGATCACGGGGAGTTAGAGGCTGGCCTGGGTCACCTGGTGACACCCTGTCCCAGAAAAGCAGTAAATGCATGAATGGCGTTGGACTGGGCTGAAGGTGCAGGAGGAGGAGAGGAGCGGGAAGGGGACGGACGGCTGGGGTGGGGAGGTGTGGAGGGAAGGTTTACTCCTGCCCGTGGCAGTGCACGAGTCCCGTCGGGATCCGTGGATAGAGATGGGAGCCCGAGACAAGGGGGCTCGGAGATCTGGGGTGCCTGGGATCAGGCCCTCCTGTGAGGGCACGGGACGGGCCTCTCCCCTCCCCGGGACCTTGCGCCACTGCACAGCTCCAGGCCCCTGTGCCATGCCCTCGGTGGCGGCTGGGTCACAGCTTCAGCCAGCCCCGCTGTGTCTCTGAGGTGCCATCTCCCTGTATGGTCTAGTCTGGCCTTAAACCCAACTAAGTTGCCCAGGCTGACCTTGAAGTTCCAGAGATCCTCCTGCCTCAGCTGCCTGGTGCTGGGATGACAGGCTGCGTCACCACGCCGGGCTCCTTTTTCTTGTTTTTTTTTTTTTTTTTTTTTTTTTTGTCTTTTTCGTTTTTATCGGTACCAGGGATCGAACTCACGACTGACTGCTTGCAAGACAGGCGCTTATGCCGCTGAGCTAAATCCCCAGCCCCTCTCCTTTTTCCATTAAGTTACCGTGAAAGTCACACTCTCAGATGCAGACACCGCGTCCTCTCCGTCCCCCCCCCAGGTGGTGCTGGAGTGGAGCCGGGACCAGTACCACGTGCTGTTTGACTCCTACAGGGACAATGTCGCCGGGAAGTCCTTCCAGAGCCGGTGAGGTCCACACGGGGTGCCCACATTAATCCACTGCAGTGTGGGATGGGGTGGGCCAGAGCCCCGGGACCCCCGCCCTTCCATCCTGACGGAGCCCTGCTTTGGAGGCTTCAAAGGTTCGGGGCCTGTGCCCTGGTGCCCAGCAGTGCAGCCCAGAGCTGCATCCCCCCACTGCAGGTCAGCACTGACCACTGCTCACTGGTCACCAGCTCTCTGAGCCCCACCTCTGATGGCCTGGGTCTCCCTGGGCAGCCCTGGGGGCAGCTGCCGGGTCGCAGCTCGCAGTCCCTGTCCCATCCTGTCCCCGTCCCCTTCTCAGGGTTTTCCTCCCGCAAAGCCAGGACTGGAGCCAAGCCTGTCCCCCCATTGCCTCCCACCCCTTTGCCCTCTGGGATCAGCAGAGCGAACTTAATGTCTTCTGTGATTTTGGAGAAGGTGGCCTGGTCCATGTGTGCGGGGAAGAGGCCCACAGTCCTGTGCGTCACCCAGTGCAGTTTGAGAACCAAAGCAGAATTTTGCCCAAGGCTTCTGTGTGACCCAGAGCGCTGGTAAACAGGAGCGCCAGGGACCGCTGTGCGTGCCTGTGGGCGACCAGTCCCGTGCAGAAATGCAAACCCGAGCTGCCTCCTGCGGGCAGCCCACCTGCCGCCCTTCCTCCCAGCCTGCTGCTGGGGCTCGGCCCGGCCCCTTTTGATGACTTGTGCATCTCTATTCAGCTTTTTCTGACAAGGTCTCTCTCTATAGGCCAGGCTGGCCTTGAACCCACAGGGATCCTGCCTCAGCCTCCTGAGCGCTCAGAGCATCCCCCCCTTCTGTATTTTGAAACAGTGTTGCTACAGTGTTGCTAGATTACTCAGCTGGGCCGACCTTGTCAATCCTCCTGCCTCAGCCTCCCCAGGGCTGGGATGACAGTGCAGGCACTGTGCCGACCACCAGGCCTCCTAGGAGCTGCTCTTGGTGAATTTTTGTTTCAGATTCTTCTTTGTTATTCAAATTGCAAAAAACAAACCACACCCCCTTCTTTATTTAGTCCCTGATGCGGAGGCTCCCACAGCCTCCAGCTGGGCAGTGGTGCAGGGGGTAAAGGTCAGGCAGTGACCAGACCCCCCGTGGGGCTCAAGAGGCCTTGGTCCAAAGGTCCAAACTCGAGCTGCAGGAATCGGATTCTGACAGGCGCCAGCCCATGTGTTGCCCCTGCCGAAGTGCATCCCTTCCTGACCCGCCCTGAGCTCGGTCCCCCCAGAAGCGCTCTGAAGGCTGAGGGAAGCTGAGGCTTGGGTGCCCCGTCAGTGGTGGTGCCCACGTGCCTCGGTGGCTGCGTATGTCCTCAGGGCTCTAAGAGGCTCACCGTCCCCGTCTCCGTCCCCACCCTAGGCTCTGCCTGCCGGTGCCCATCGACGTGGTCTACACCTGGGTCAACGGCACGGACCTCGAGCTGCTCAGGGAGCTCCGGCAGGTCCGGGCGCAGATGGAGGAGGAGCAGAAGGCCATGCGGTACAGTGCATTTCAGTCGCTTGTGTTCTTTGAGACAGAGCCTCACTGTGTAGCCCAAGCTGTCCACCTGGGGCGATCCTCCTGCCTCAGCCTTCTGAGTGCTGGGGTTACGGGCCTGTGCCAGCACGCCCGCAGTGTCCATTTCTTAAAATGATGATTTTCCTTGGCACGGTCCATCCTGTTTTCTGCTGTCCTCCGACTCCCCGGGAGCAGTGGCAGGGAGCTCCCGCCCCTTTGGTGTCAGCACCAGTGGGCACCCCAGTCTGAGGGTGCTGTGCTGGGACCAGGGTAGCCTGTGTCTCGAGCCCCTTGTTCACACCCAGGTGGGCACCGGGCCCAAGGGTATAACGAGCTCTGCTTGCTTTTCCTTAGGGAAATCCTGGGGAAGAACACGACAGAACCCACGAAGAGGAGGTAAGGGTTCATCTCTCTCAGCACAGGAGCCCAGGGCCGCGGCGCTTCCAGCGTGGCTGTGCTCGGGTCTTCAGGACTCTGGGGCTGCCATGTCCAGCCCTCTCCACTGGTTTCCAGCTCACCGTATAGCCTGGGCCAACCTGGACTTGTGTGGATCCTCCTGCCTCAGCCTCCTGAGTGCAGGGATTACAGATGTACATCGCCTCAGCTGGCTCCTAAATCTGTACATATTTGAGCTAGAATTTCTGTGCATTAAAGTATCGTGACTTGAAAGACAGCTCCAGAAAAACACGGTCCGGGTCAGGGTGTGTGGCAAGGCTCGGAGGTGGCTTGCGGTGCCATGTGACACGCCGTGTCCCCGCAGCGAGCAGACTCTGGAGTGCCTGCTGACCCACTGCATCAAGGTGCCCATGCTGGTCCTGGACCCCGCGCTGCCCGCCAACAGCTCCCTGAAGGACCTGCCGGGCCTGCACCCCGCCTTCCGCACGGCCAGCGACCTCTTCCACGTGGCCAAGCCCAAGAACCCATCCACTAACGTCTCTGTGGTCGTCTTTGACAACACCAGGGATGGTGAGCACATTATGTGAAGCTTGGTTTTATTTATTTATTGATTGTCTTTTTGAGGCAGGGTCTTGCTATGCAGTTCAGGCCGGCCTTGAGCTCACTTGGTAGCCCAGGCTGGTCTCGAACTCGAAATGATCCACCTGCCTCAGCCTCCTGAGTGTTGGGATGGCAGCTGTGTGCCATCACGCCTGGCTTCTGTGGAGGTTTAAACCATAATTCCTAGAGATGAAATGTTAAAGAAATACCTGATAGGCTGGAGATTTAGCTCAGCGGCATAAGCATTTGCCTTGCAAGCACGGAGTCCTAAGTTCAATCCCCGGTACTGATTTAAAAAAAAAAAGGATCTCATAACTAAAGAAATATCTGATAAACTGGAAGCCCCTGGGTGGGAAGCCCAAGGGCTGTCACTGTGCTGCCTGCCTGTGCGTCCCTGGCTCAGAGAGGGACCGTGTGGCCTCTCTGCACACATGTGCCCCTCCTACACCAGAGCGACCTGCCGGTGGCCATCACACTCCAGTGTCCTGGGGGCTGTTTCCCGCCCTTGGGCCCATAGCAGGACTGTTCCAAGCCTTGCGCAGGGCATAGCCAGGGAGGCCAGACTTGGCATCCAGGTGCCGGGACCAAGGTGAGGAGCAGCTGCGGGCTGGGGCGGTCTGGACCTCAGCCTCTAGAACTGTGGTCAGCTACTAGGTCAGCTGTTCCTGGGCTGGGCACAGGGCTGGGTAACCGAGCACTTGGGGCACGCACAGAGCCTTGGTTTGGGCCTCAGCACTGCAGTGGCCACCGGAAGTGGACCTGGTTCCCTGGGCTTGCTCATCCAGGAAAACTGTTCCGTGCATGTACGGTGCTGTCTGCAGTGCAGAGGATACTGCCGGTTCCACAGGGCTAACCAGCGCCCTAATGTGTGTGTGTGTGTGTGTGTGTGTGTGTGTGTTATAGAACATGAAACCTGAGCGGGGGAGTGACAGGTGGCGGTGGCCCCCAGGAGGAGGGGCTTGGTGAGACAGGTGAGGGTGGTGCAAAGGCCCTGGGGCGGGAAGAGCAGTGCAGCAGGCCGGGGCTGGGCCTGCAGCTGTGACTCAGGGCCCAGGGCCTCACGTTCAAGTGTGGGACGTCTGGTTAGGTTCCGGGAGGGTCAGGGTGACAGCCACGGGGAGCCAATGGAGAGGCCATGCTCCCGTGTATGGGGAGGCATGTGTGGGCCATGGACATTTGGAGGCCATGTACAGGTTTCCTGTCGTGCCAGGTCAGGGATGGCACTGTCCTTGGTCTCAGCAGAAAAGTTCGATGGGAATTCAGCTGTGGATGAGGGCGTGCTGTCACCTGCAGCCCCTGAGTCTGGCGTCCTTGGCCCCCCTCCAGGCTTCAGTGCCCTGCGGCGCCTCCTTGCCTGTGAGTCTCGGTTTTATTCTGATGACTCGGACGCATTGCTGTCCGTGGTCAGGAACCTGAGAACCTTCCACCATTTCTGGCCAGCGGAGCCTGAAGCAGACCTGAGGTCATGGCTCTGTGAGCCGTAGCCTGGGGCAGGGCCGCAGGTCAGAGCCACAGCACACCCAGGCACGCGTCCAGCCATCGCCTGGGGCCACGTGATGCCGTTAGGACTGCGCTGAGCCTCGAGGCCCTCAGAGCTGTCTGCATCGCGCAGAGCCTAAGGTGTCCATGGAGGGCAGCGGGGGTCTCATGCATTTTGGGGCGACCTCACACTCCTGGCGCCTGGTGCGTCTTTTAGGACAGTGTTCCAGAATTTCCTCTCTGGTGTGTGTGTTCCTGCCTAGTGTGTGTGCGAGTGTGTGATCCCTGGCAAGGACTCGAGCTCAGGACCTTGCACACTCTTGGCGAGCACTGTGGGCCCAGGACTGGCTTCCTGTTGGCCCTCTGCGGCTGAGACGCAGCCACGTGGCCCTTCCTGCCCAGCCCCTCACGGTGCCTCTGCCCTCCTCCCCCGGCTGGGCCTTACCCAGGAGGAGTCTGCCTGGTCTCGGTTTCCTCTTTCCAAAGTTCCCCTTTTCCCCTGCGGTGTCTGTCTCTGTGCTTTCCTCCTCCTCCTGTGGGTGTCCTCCTCTTCGGGGATCCAGCCTGAGCTCGGTTATGCTCGCGAACTGCTCCGTGTTCATGCCCGAGTGGATGTCGTGGGTGGTACCCAGTATGGGGAGCCTGTGTGCACCATGTCCCAAGGTGTCTGGGATGCAGGACGTGTGTTCACCACCCTGGCTCCCTCTGTGCGCCTGGGCCGAGCGGCTGCCTTAGTCTCCACTGACCACCTCTCCCGAGGCCACTGCCCAGATGGTGCGATGCTCTCCGGACAGGTAGGCGCGGTAGCACCTGCCCTGGCTCAGGAGTGTCCTTCCTGTCTTGCAGTGGAAGATGCCCACGCCAGCCTGCTGAAGGGGAGCGGCAAACAGACGGTTTGGAGGGGCTACCTGGTACGCGGCGGGTACTGTACTATGGGGTGTGAGAGAAAAACCTGGGAGCGTGCAGCGTTGTCGGAGGCGGGTTAGCGTTAGTGTGGAGGGCGGCCACTGTGAATCTGCAGCAGCTCCCTGCGGCCAGCGCGGGTGCCCCTGTGGGCGCCGCCTCCGCAGCAGCACCAGAGTCCTCCGGGAGGCCTTTCATTGCCTTGATGCCCCCCAGATGGCTCCTTTTCATGGTCATTTTAACCTGAGGCCCTCAGCAGTCACGCTGTCCCTGACCTGGAGGGTCCGGCGGAGGACACACACGGCCGGGCAGAGACTGCCGTGACGCCCCGCGTGGGGACGGGGTGCCGAGGCAGCCGTGGGGAGCAGAGTCCAGTCTGTGGTGCCCTGGACACGTGGGCCCTCAGCTGACATGGAGGCGCAGCGCCCCCTCCCGTGCCCAGCCCCGGCTTCCCTGGCATCGGCCTCCTCGGGAGCGGAGGGTGAGGCGGGGTCTCCTCCCTCCGCAGACCACAGACAGAGAAGTCCCCGGGCTGGTGCTCATGCAGGACCTGGCTTTCCTGAGCGGCTTCCCGCCCACCTTCAAGGAGACCAGTCAGCTGCGGACCAAGCTGCCTGAGGGCCTGGCTGCCAAAATCCGCCTGGTGAGAGCAGGGGCGCCTGTCTGGCTCCCCTAAACCTCCCACGCTGCCCCTCCCCTCCCGCGACGGCCCCCTTCCTTGGCCCCTTTCACCTGCAGTTGGGCCGGGGGACTGCGTTCTACACGAGTATAGAGATTTTCTTTTCTTCCCTCACCCGTGCTTTGTTTTGTTTGGTTTGCTGCACTGGGGATGAGCCAGGGTCTTGCTCAGTTGCTCAGCCTGAGTTTAGAGATCTTCCTGTCTCAGCCTCCTGATTAGCTAGGACCAGAAACAAGCACCTCCACTGTGGCCACTCCTTGCTCATGGGCGAAATGTCCAGACTCTTGGTTCTCTGGTTGCCTGGTGGGAGGCACGTCACGGGTTTAGTGCACCAGCCTCTAGGGCACATCGGTGAGGCTGCCTCCTAAGACCTGTGCCAGGCAGCACCTGCGGAGGGGGCGTGGAGGCCTGGGAGGAGCAGGCCAAGCTTCCAGGGTGCAGCACAGGGAGTGTGCTCGGCCTCTGCGAAAGCTTCTGCTGAGGAAAAGATGATGCTTCAGATAGGAGATCTCACGTCCATTCATTGTTGATGCCCACAGTCCCAGCACTCAGGAGGCTGAGGCAGGAGGATCACTGTGAGTCTGAGGCCAGCCTGAAAACTATCCCTGCCCCTGCCATTGTGCTCCTTGAGAGTTGGCCACAGTGTTCTGTGCCCCCCCAGCTGACCTGGTGCCTGCCCTCCCCCACCTTCCTCAGGAAGTCTGGGGGTGGAACCTAAGGTGGGGTGGGCTGGGGCCTTCACAAGGTCTCCAGTGACCCCACACCTTGGTTCCTTCCCACCTGTTTGTTGTTTGAAGCTGGTTGTCTTAACCAGGCGTGGTGGAGATGGAGACGGGAAGTGCTGACGCCCTGCCTACTGGGTGTCACGTGCCCCAGGGTTCCCAGAGTGGAAGGGCGAATTCTTTGGAACAGCAGTGTGGTGCAGAGCAGCAGGACTTTTTGAGAGACAGAAGGGGCTGACGGGCTGGCGGGGGGGGGGGGCGCGGTACACAGCATGTCCTGCAGAGCAGATGGCGAAGTGGATGTGCAGAGGGACAGAACTGTGGTCACCCTGCAGATCACCAGCATAGCTGCCTGGGAAGTGCGGCCCAGTGGGAAGCAGGTCTCGGGAGCAAGAAGCTTTCTAGGAAAGGGATGGAGCAGGAGGCCGTGGTCACCGCCTGGGTGACTGGTGTCTCCCTAGATTTTAATGAAATGGGAGCGAAACTCCCTAGCCCACTAGATGTCCGTAGGAGTTTGTGTTCACTGAAATCAGTGACTTTTAAGAACAATGGAGATTAAGAGCAGAATATGTTTATTGAGAGAAAGAAAGCTTCTGTCTGAGAGAGACAGAAGGAGGTCTTAGTGGGTTGGCAGGGACTCTGTCTTTTCTAGGGAGTTTAAAGAGCAAAACCACGAGGTGAGGTGGGTCTAAGGTGGGGAAAACAGGAACTCGCAAGGTGGGCAGGAGGTGGGACAGAGCTGTGGTCAGCCAGTGAGATGAATTGCTCAGAGTGAAATTGATTAAATCAGGAGTGAGTGAGAGTGGAGTCCTGGAGCAAGCGGGATAAACACAGAACAGGGCTGGGTCCTGGCTCCTTCTGATCCCTACTTAGGATACCCATCCATCCCTGAGGTCTAGCTCTCGGGCGGGAGCCTTCGTTTTATCTTTTGTTTTGAGATCTGGCCCATAGCCGGAGGGGTCTGTCTCCTCCTAGGCTGCAAGGTGTCTGGGCCTCTGCACTGGTTCCTTGGAAGGAGCCCTTGGAAGGCCCTGCCCTGGCTGCCTGCCCGTAATACTCCGGTCTAACTCAGCTGTCTGTAACAATACCAGTTTTAGTACAGCCCCAGGTTCCTGTGGTCTCCCAGGGAGGCAGGCGTGTAGGCCGGTCTGCCAGTCTCATCCAGGCCTGGCCTCCAGCGGAGTCGTGGTGTGGTGCACTGGCTCCCAGGGGCCCAGCACTGCCTGCCTGAACGATTCCTCTGCACCTAGCGTCTGCGATAGCGGCCCTGTAGTCCCAGGGTTAGGGAGGCCAAGGGGAAGTTGGAGGCCAGCCTGGGCTACGTAAGGAGACCCTGTCTCACAACACAGAACAAGAACAAAAGATGCACTGTGTCCTTTGCCACTGGGCTCCAGGACTGTCGGCTCTGAGTGTCTGGAGCTCGGGTGGCAGTGGCCGGGGTTCAGCCACCTCCAACAGGTGAGCGCCCGTGTCCGTTTCCAGCAGGAGGGCGGGTTGGGCCTGAGTGCCACTGGAGAGTGACAGGGACAGAGAGCAGGAAGGGGGTGCCTGTGAGCCCCTCTCCCCTCCCCCCCCAGCTCCACCCCGGGGAAGCTTGTGTCCTGGTCCAGCTGCCTCAGAGGGCATAAAGCACTCTGGGTGTGGTCTCTCTAGTAAGATTGTGTATTTTAGGCAGGGCCTGGCAGTGTAGCCCAGGTTGGCCTTGAGCTCACTGCAGGCCTCCAGCCTCACCTGGGAGGCGCTGGGATGCCAGCTTTTGCTGCCAGGCCCAGCTAAGGTTTTTTAAACAAAGTGCCCTGAGGGTGCTTAGGCCACCTGGAGCCAGATGGATGCAGCCAATTTCCCAAGCAGGAGGTGAGGGGACAAGGGAGGGGGAGGGGCTCAGGCAGAGGTCACGGCCCTCAAGTGCATGGTTTTCAGGAAACTGTGGCAGCAGCTCTTAGGGACCAGGACTCGTGCTGGGCTCCGTGGGAGGCCAGCTGGGAAAGGTTCCTGGGGCAGTGTGGACAGACAGTGGACTCCTCTGTTCTGGGGACCTGGGTGGGCAAGGGCCCAAGGGAAAGGCTGGCCTGCGGAACCGGTTGGGCCAGGGCTGCTGCAGCGCAGCCCGCATGTCTGGTCAGGTGTGTGTGGGGGTGTCGGCCACTGAGGCTGCTCTGTGCTGTCCCCTCCCACTGTGCCCCAGATGGTGGCAGCAGGACACGCATCCCACTGCTGGATGCGGTGTCTCTCGTCAGGCTGGGGCTCTGGAGCCTTTGAGGGGCTTTAGGTGGGAAGCACCTAGGTCAGGGTCACTGACCGAAGGACATTGTCCAGGGAGCAGCTCCCCGCTGCCCTCTTAGCGGCTCTGGCTGGTAGGTGGTTTCGGGGAAGCCCTCAGGCAGCCCTGCTCAGCTCCCCTCCATCCAGGTGGCCCCAATCTCCAAGTGCAGGTGCCAGCGGGGTCCAGTGCAGGCTTTGTAAGCAGACCGGTCAGGTCCTAGAGCAGCAGTCAGCCGCTGTCCGCCAGCACGTGTTCTGCAGGGCCTGGCTTGGTGTGATGCTGCATGCCTCTCAGCTCAGCACTCTTGGAGGCTGAGGCAGGAGGGTTACACCTTGGAGCCCGGCTGGGGAAATGTAACTTAGTAAGACCCTGTCTCAGAGTGAACAGTGGACTGGGAATGAAGTGTACTGCAAAGGCCATCGGTTCATGCCCAGTACTACAGAAAAACGCCAAAAAAATCCAAAACAAAACAAAAAAACACAGCCAAATCATTGAAAGTTGGGGTGACTTTGCACAGGAGTGGGGAGACCTGGCCTCACTTAGGGCCACTGGTGGGAGGCCACAGTTTCAGAGTGCGCTGAGCTGTCCCAGCCACTGCTGCGCCGTGCCTTGCCCTTCCTGTGTGTGATGCCCCGGAGCTGGCCATGCTCTGTGGGCTATTTCCGGGATGCTATGTTGGTTTCTGGGGCGCAGCGTGAATTTCCAGTCTGGGGGAACGCTGAGCCCCCCAGCACTGTCCCCTGCCTTGACAGCTGCAGCTGTACTCCGAGGCCAGCGTGGCGCTCCTGCACCTGCACAACCCCAGGGACTTCCAGGAGCTGAACAAGCAGACGAAGAAGAACATGACCATCCAGGGCAAGGAGCTGACGCTCAGCCCCGCCTACCTGCTGTGGGACCTGGGCGCCATCAGCCAGGTGTGTGCTCTGTGGGGCACAGACGGGGGGCCGGGAGGGGAGATAGTCCTCCTGCCTCAGCCTCCTGATTGGCACTCCACACCCTGGGGCGGCGGGCAGGGGGTGCGGCCTGAGGCCCCCATGTCATTCAGTCTAAGCAGGACGAGGATGTCTCCGCCAGCCGCTTCGAGGACAACGAGGAGCTGAGGTATTCGCTGCGCTCCGTGGAGAGGCATGCGCCCTGGGTGCGCAACATCTTCATCGTCACTAACGGCCAGATCCCGTCCTGGCTCAACCTGGACAACCCACGGGTGAAGGTGGTCACTCACCAGGTGCGCCCACCCCTGCTTCCAGGGTGCACCTCCACGGTGGTCTAGGTCTCAGGGTTCCGCTCCCCCGGGCCTGCTCTACACGCTGGGGAGCTCTTCCTCCTCCAGGGCCCCTCCCCTGCCTGGTGCACACTGGCGGGAAGTCTTCCCCTTGCACACTCACAGGGAGTCCTCCCTCCCCTGCTCACACCTACAGGAAGTCCTCCCTCTCCCGCACATGCTCACAGGAAGTCCCCTTTCCACCTACAGGAAGTCTTCCGGAACCTGAGCCACCTGCCCACCTTCAGCTCCCCGGCCATCGAGAGCCACATCCATCGCATCGAGGGGCTGTCGCAGAAGTTCATCTACCTGAATGATGACGTCATGTTTGGCAAGGATGTGTGGCCGGACGACTTCTACAGCCACTCCAAGGGGCAGAAGGTGAGTGGCGTCCAGGGCCCGGTTCAGGTGTGGACAGGAAGTGCACAGGGCTGGAAGCCGGAGTCCTGGAAGTGTGGGTGCAGAGCGGGCGCGGTGGCACAGCCTGGGACCCCAGCACTCGGGAGGCTGAGGGGGAGGATTGCCCCGTGTTGCAGGCTAGTGTGGGCCACACGGTGAGTTCAAGGCCGGCCTGGACTGAGAGTGAGGCCGAACCAAAAAATTAAGGCATTAAACACGAATGCAGGCAGGTAATTTGCTTCATTGTCAGATACCCAAACTCCTCGCCCAGCCCTTCAATTTTCTACAGCAAAGTCACTATGAAAGTCAGCACTTAAAAGATACAGAGCTCTCATCTTGATTTCTTTATACGTTCTGATAGTCCTCTGTCTGAGGAGCAGCTGGCCAAACCTTTCCCCGTTCTGTGGTTTGTGTCTTCACTCTTGGTTTCCTTAGCTGTACAGAACTGTTTTATTTTGATGGAAGCTTAAATGTCTCGTGGCTTCCCTAGGTGAGAAACCCAGAGTGGAAACAGAGACCAGAGTGAGAGACAAGTGACAGGAAGTAGGGGTCAGATCTTTCTCACAGGAGCGGACGCAGAGTTGGGGACGGGGGCAGGACTGCGGTGTGTCCCACGTGTCCCGTGACCCGCGGGTGGAGCAGCAAACAATCAGAACCACGAGGGTGGTCAGGTGGCTGAGGCCGAGCTCACTGTGGGGTGCCCCGAGAGGGCTGAGCCTGGGTCATTGTGCTCCCAGGCCTCGGCTTCGTGCTCCACCTGCGGGTGGCACAGGGACCCCGGAGCGCTGGTGGGAGGGTTTGGTGACCAGGGAGAGAGACTCGGCACCACGAGCTAAAGCTCCCAAACCCGGCGACTCTGTGTGCTCAGAGCCACACCACCCAGCCTATGCCCTGTGATCCCTGCTCTGGGCCCCCTGGGGAGCCCCGGGCCCCGGAGCGGAGCTGGTGGTGCAGCAGGAGAAGCGGGGTCTCCAAGGGGAGGGCATTTGTGAGCTGTGACCCCGAGTGGCAGGCTGGCCGGCAGTCCCAGGGACACGGGGAGGCCGCCATCAGCCCAGGGCCTCTCGAGCCTCTCCAGGGCCGCCCTCCCTTGCCTGCTCCTCCACCTCCTCCTCCTCCTCTGTTCTCCTTCCCCCTTTCTTCGCCCTCTTTCCTCCTCCTCCTCTCCTTGTTATGTTTTTGGTTTGGTTGGAGACGGGGTCTCATTGTGTGGCCCAGGCTTCGATCTTCCTGTCTCCTCGGTGCTGGAATTACAGGTGTTCACCCCCACGCCCGGCTGACTTTCCTTTTGAAGGTATTTTAGCACAAGAGCAAAAAGCACCGAAGTCAGCCTGTTTCTCCTCTGGTGTCGCAGGTTTACTTGACATGGCCCGTGCCGAACTGCGCCGAGGGCTGCCCCGGCTCCTGGATCAAGGACGGCTACTGTGACAAGGCCTGTAACAACTCGGCCTGTGACTGGGACGGCGGCGACTGCGCTGGTACGGCTGTGCGGAGACGGGGTCACTGCAGTTCCCCCATCCGAAGGGGTGGTCGTGGTTCCCGGTGACCACTGTGTTAGTGTTTCTTGGTGTTGAGAGCCTGGTCTCATGCAGAAGACATTGCTGCTCACCACTTGCCTCGAAAATCCAGCCGGTGTGAGGGCAGGCCGGAAATCCCAGTGCTCGGGAGACTGAGGCAGGAGGATGCAAAGTTAGGCCCAGTGACCACTTAGAAGCTTAGTAAAGGCTGGGGATGTAACTGTGTGTGAAGGCCGGGTCCATGCACGCACACACAGGTGCTCGCACACACACGTGTTCAGTCCATCATTGTTTGTGTTTCAGCCTCAGCCCCTGGGCTGGGTCCCCACTCAGGGCACCTCTGTGACCATCATACTTGTGCTCCCGCCGCAGGCCGAGTCCTGCAGCCCCACAGTGATTGTTATGATCCATGCATGCACGCCGGGAGCCGAAGGGGACTGTCTGTGCCCCGCCCGACACCCAGGCAGCCTGTGTCCCACAGGGAGCAGCGGAGGCAGCCGCTACGTGGGCGGCGGAGGAGGCGCGGGCAGCGTGGCCGGTGGTCAGCCCTGGCAGTTCAGTGGTGGACTCAGCAGTGTCTCCTACTGCAGCCAGGGCTGTGCCAATTCCTGGCTGGCTGACAAGTTCTGCGACCAGGCCTGCAACGTCCTGGCTTGCGGGTTCGACGCCGGCGACTGTGGCCAAGGTACTTGGACGGCTGGGAGCCGCCCAGGCTGACCAGGGCTCGTGGGTGGTCGTTGTTGTCCAGCGCAGTGGGCCCTGTCCTGTGTCCGGCCCTGTGAGGAGTTGAGCCAAAGAGACGAGATGCACTGCATTCTCCAGTGTGCCCGGGCCACCACCACTGCTGTGGGGGGCATCTGACGGGCAAGGGGAGGGGTCCATAGGGAAGTGGTGAGGCTGGGACGTCCCTGGAGTGGCATGAAGGCGGGGGCAGGGGGTGCATTCCTGCAGGGATTCAGAGCCTGGCCTGGACCACATGATGTCAGTGACAGGCGGGGCACAACTATGCTCTGCTCCCCAATGCAGGCTCCCACGGCAAGGCCAGCACTGCGCCCTTCAGACTGTGTCTGGTTGCTGCTGGCCCTGGGGTGGTTCTTGGGGTGGCTCCCCCAAACGGTGAAAGGAAGGGGGGGAAAGCACTGGCTTCCGTGTGCGTTTCCCGCAGATCACTTCCACGAGCTGTACAAGGTGGTCCTCCGCCCCAACCAGACGCGCTACGTGCTCCCGAGGGGCGAGCGGCAGCCTTACTTCAGCTTCGCTGAGATCGCCAAGCGGGGTGTGGAGGGCTCCTACAGTGACAGCCCCGTGATCCGGCACGCGTCGGTCGCCAACAAGTGGAAGACGGTGCACCTGCTGCTGCATGGCGGCATGAACGCCACCACGCTGCAGCTGAACCTCACGCTGCAGGACGCCGCCGAGCGCGAGTTCCGGCTGCAGCTGGCGATTGAGGTGGACACACGGGAGGGTCCCAGGCCCAACGCCAGCACCCCGCAGCCCCGTGCGCCCCCAGGCAGCCCCTCCACGCCGCCCCCCGAGGCCGAGGTGCTTTTCGAGGATGTCCCTGAGGAGAAGCGCTTCCCCAGGGTCCGGAGGCTCGGGACGCCGCATGAGCCACTGCCGATGCCCCAGGTGAACGTTTCCCTGCTGCCCAGAGAGGCCCAGGCCAGGCTCAGGGTCCTGGACTTGCAGCTGGCTCAGGGTGACATCACGGTGAAAGGCTACAACCTGTCCAAGTCAGCCCTGCTGCAGGCCTTTCTCACCAGCGTCCCGGTCACTGCCATCAGCCCAGCTACTGTCACGGAAGGAAGACGGGGTCACCGGAGCCTGGACAGCAGCAGAGGCTTACAGCAGCCCCTGTGGCCAGCTCTGCCGGCAGGGATAGCGGAAGGGCACCGTCTCCACCGTCTCCTAGGTGCCAGTCCATCCCCAGTCCCGGAGGCCAGGGCAGCCGCAAGCCCAGCCCCAGGTCTCAGCAGCAGCAGCAGCAGCAGCAGCGCGCTCAGAAGGAAGCACCCGCCTCCGGCCCAGGGAGAGAGAAACGTGGCCGTGGAGAAGGAGCCCCAGGTGGAGGCGGGTGCTGCCGACCCCCGAGACCCCGCCGCCCCGCTGCCCGGGAGGAGGCTGCAGCAGGAGCTCTCCGGGAGTTACCTGGGCTTCCTGCCCTGGGAGAAGACCAAGTACTTCCAGGACCTGCTGGAGGTCAGTGAGTGTCCACTGTCTGCCTCAACTTGGAGCCGGTGCCCTTGGGAGCAACAGCTTGGCCGCTTTCGCAGGACGAGGGCCATAAGTCGCCACCCGAGGGTACTCTGCTGGCCCGCAGTGGGGCAGTGACCTCCGGTGCTGTGTGGTTAGGAGGCTGTGGGAAGCTTTACCACCGTGTGGGTGTGTCGTGGTTTTGGTCCTGTGCAGGGATGACAGGCGTGCACCCCGCCTGAGCCCTAAGAGAGCCGCGCCCTTGCAGGAGGAGGCGGCGCTGAAGACCCAGCTGGCCTACCTCACGGACAGCAGCCACGCCGGCCGGCGGCTCCAGGACACCTTCGCGGACTCGCTGCGTTACGTCAACAAAATCCTCAACAGCAAGTTCGGCTTCGCGTCTCGGAAGGTCCCGGCGCACATGCCGCACATGATCGACCGCGTGGTCATGCAGGAGCTGCAGGACATGTGAGCCCGCCGCCTGCCGGGTGGCCCCTGTGTGCGGCCTGGCCCCGGCTCACCGCCCTGTGCCCGTCCCTGCAGGTTCCCCGAGGAGTTCGACAGGACGTCCCTGCACAAGGTGCGGCACTCTGAGGACATGCAGTTTGCCTTCTCCTACTTCTACTACCTCATGAGCGCGCTGCAGCCGCTCAACGTGGCCCAGGTCTTCGACGAGGTGGACACGGACCACTCGGGTGTCCTGTCGGACCGCGAGATCCGGACGCTGGCCACCCGCGTGCACGAGCTGCCGCTGAGCCTGCAGGTAACGGGGCGATGTTTCCTGTAAGTGCCCCTCTTCCGGATGGCTCTCAGTGTGACACTGATCGCAGGCATGTTGCACGCTTATGGGTGTGTCACACGAGCCTGTTCTTACACTAAAGTTAGAACCAAACCTGAAGTTGGTGTTTTGTGAGATGCTTGTCTGGCTTTTGAGATGTGGACTCGCTGTGTAGCCCAGGCTGGGCTCGAACTTGCAGCAGTCCTCCTGCCTCAGCATCCCGCATGCTGGGATGACAGGTGTGCACCACCACGCCCAGTGAGGTTACTCTCTAGGGATTGAGCACATATTTCCTGGGGAGGAGGTGGGCACGGGCACCTCCACGTGAGGCTTGTATGTGGGGTCTGGGCTGGTGCACCTGTGGCCATCAGCCCTGCCTCTGTCAGCTTCCCCTGCTGGAAGCCTTTGGATGCCCTGGGCACCCGTGGGGAATGGGGTCCCACGGGCCAGGCCCTGCCTCTTCACAATGGGGATGAGGCATGTTTGCATTGTCTCCTGCTCTCATTGGAGACCTTTATGTTTAAGAACCATGTCAGAAGCCAACGTGTGCTAGGCATCTGTAATCTCACTACTCTGGAGGCTGAGGCAGGAGGATCACACTGCATTTGAAGCCAGCCTTGACCATATAGTGGGTTTCAGGCGTTTTGGACTATTCATTGAGACCCTGTGTGGAAAAGCCACATGCAAAAGAAGTCAGGCAGAGCACGTCTGAGGGTAGTATTTAAGCCGTTCGTGGAAGGTTTTATGTAATTTATGTTTAAAAAACCGTGATCATTGGTTATAATGCACGCAACAGGTTTACCTTGTATTTTGCTGCGTTAGGATCTGACGGGTCTGGAACACATGTTAATAAACTGCTCAAAAATGCTTCCCGCTAACGTCACTCAGCTGCACGCTGTGCCGCCCACCCAGGAGGCCTACTACGACCCCAACCTGGTGAGTGCCGGGGTCCCAGTGGGTGACCTGCGGGCGGTGTGCAGTGCATGCTGGGGTTCCGGCAGCAGGCGACCGTGCCGGGTCTTCCAGGGGACGGCAGCCCCAGAGAAGTGGTTGGTGGGGGCGGTGCTGTGCCTCGAAGCCCCGGGCTCCCCGGGCGGGGTCACTGGGAGCCCTGTGACATCCAGCTTGTGATAGAGCAGAGGCGCTCCCTGCCTGGAGTGAGCCGGGGAGTGGGTGGCACCGTGCGGACAGTGGGCGTGAGCTCCTGATCCCGCCCCGGGCACACGTGTGAGTGTGTAACGCAGCCCGACAGTGGAGTGGTATCTCAGCTGTGCTTTTCAGTGACCTCCTCTTGGGAGTTTTCCTAGCTTTGACTCTCAGGGTTACTTATTTAGCAAGACCATGTCTCAAGATAAAAACAAGGTTTGGGGATGTAGCTCAGGTTAAAGGCCCTGAGTTCAATCCCCAGTACCAAAAAAATGGAACAGGAACGCTGGAGTCACAGTGCGCACCACCAGCCCGTCAGGGCTGTTTTGACGTAGTGTAGTGTAACTTGCAATTAAAATAAGACTTTACACACAAGCTGCCGTCCCGGGCTGCAGCGTGCCAGGACCACATTAGAACGGATGCGTTATCCCCCATCCTGGCGTTTGCTGCCCACTTGCTCTGCCCCTGGCCCGAGGGCCCCTTGTCATGTCGCCCTTGTCCCCGTCCTGTCTGAATCCCCTCCCTGCGCTTTCTCGCAGCCACCGGTGACCAAGAGTCTGGTGACCAACTGTAAGCCCGTGACCGACAAAATCCACAAGGCTTACAAGGACAGGAACAAGTACAGGCAAGTGACCCCACCGCTGCGCTCAGGGCTGGAGACCAGGCCGGCGGCTTCTCCGTGCCACAGTGCCTCGTTTAGTTTTGATGTGTTTGAAGAAGGAAAGCTTTACCGTGGTTCGCAGTTTGTGCAGGTTTCTGACCCAGGGCAGCAGGAGAGGTGCTGTGGGGGGAGGAGGACACGGACCCGCAGCCACGTCCCCAGTGATCCGTGTCCTCCGCCAGTGCGTGTCCTGCTCCCGTGACCAGGCCCCTCCCGGAAGCCCCATTAGGAGCCCACAAGGCTTTGGGGAACAGCCCGATACCCACCGGGGCTTCTGCCTCCAGCCTGTCAAGCACTCATGCACATTTTTTGTGCAAAATGCACTTAGTCCACCTCTGAGAGTCGGCACAGTGTTTCCTCTGTGAAGCTTTCTTTGTAAAAGTCACGGTGAGCTGGGCGAGGTGGCCCACACCTGTCATCCCAGCCCTCGGGAGGCTGAGGCAGGAGGATCACCATGAGTGCAGGACCGGCCTGGGCTGCGTAAGGAGACAACAGACGACCCCCCTTGTGAGGCGGTTGCCTCAGCAGTGCTGAGCCAGTCGTTCTGTGGATGTGGGGCACACGAAGTGGTCACAGTGCTCTTTCTGCTGACCCTGTTTGGTATCCCTGCGAATCAAATGTGTCACCTCTTTCTTTGTGTTTGGACGACTAGGTTTGAGATCATGGGGGAGGAGGAAATCGCGTTTAAGATGATCCGAACCAACGTTTCTCACGTGGTGGGCCAGTTGGACGACATAAGGAAAAACCCCAGGTACGGACTCGCGTGGGCTTGCCGCTGTCCTGGGTGGTCTGTGGCCACCTCAGTTAGCACGCGAATGTGAATAATTGGCCCCGCTCAAGTGCCCTGACGTCCTCCCAGGCAGCCCACACTGCCAGGCTCTTATTTGCTGGTGAAAGGTAGGAGGAGGTCAGATGTGTGTGCTTCCAGAGGTACAATGAGGTTTCTTAGTCTCTCCTATCGCCACTCAGAGCAGATGGGCACAAGAAGGTCCCCAGAAGTCGCAGACCGGGGAAACACATGGGGAAAGCATTTTAAGAAAAAGCCACGGTCAGGTGTGGTGGGGCATAGCTGTAATTGCAGCACTTGGGAGGCTGAGGCAGGAGGATCGCTGTGAGTTTGAGAGCAGCCTGGGCTCCAGAGTGAGCTCAAGGCCAGCGGACTCCAGCATGCAGGAAGCCCACTGAGTATTTGCAGCGTGGCTCTTGCCTCTGCCCGGGTACCTTGATAAAAACAAGTTAAAATCTACTTTTTGAAGGGTTTCTGTTGAGACTGTTTTTTTTTTTGTTTGTTTGTTTGTTTGTTTTCTACTGGTACCAGGGATCGAACTCACGACCATGTGCTTGCAAGGCAGGCACTTATGCCATTGAGCTAAATCCCCAGCCTCTGTTGTGACTGTTTTTACGCATTTGTTTTGTTTTGTTGAGTCAGGGTCTTGCTGACCTTGGCTTCCTGACACTTCTCCTGCCTCAGCCTCCTAAGTGCAGGGGCTTGATAGCATGCCTGGCTTTGTTGTTTTGAACTTTAGGAAGGAGCTGTTTCAACATTTTCACAGACAAACACACAAAGATCTTGGTATATAAAATGAACACTTTGTATTTCGAGTTTTTTACATGCTGTTGGAAGTTTCTGGTTTTGCCTCATTTGAATGGAACTTTTATTCGTAAGTGATGAAAGTTGTAAAAATTTTAGATACAGTATTTTTAAGATCATGATTTTTTTCCTTACAAATCAGAAAAATATCTTTAGTGCTTGTTTAGTTTCTTTAGGGAGCCAGGGAAAAACCCCAGATTTCCTAAAAATAAGTCTCTCCCAGCCATGCAGGCAGCCGCTGTCTGCACCTACTGTGTCTTGGGTCTGGCTTGTGAGAAAACTTCCCTGAGGTTTTGGGGCCCAGTTTGGGCGGCTTGGGGCCTTTGCACCAGTGCTCTGGGTCTCCCGTGGTCTGCAGCAACTTGTGGGCTTTCACCCCCGTTTACTTTGTTGGACTCAGACCACAGAGTTGTTCTCCTTCCCAGAGCCGCGGATGGCACCCAGGGGTGCCTTACCTCCAAGCTGCAGTCCCGGCCCTTTTTTATTTTTCCAGACAGTTGCATCAAGTTGTCCAGGCTGCCCTCCAGCCTGTGGCCTTCCTTCCTCAGCCTCCCAAGTAGCTGGGACACTGCCAGGCACGACTGGATGTCAGGACTTTTTTTTTTTGGTCTTTTTGAGACAGGCTCTCGCTGTGCAGTTCAGGCTGGCCTTAGACTCCCGTTGTAGCCCAGGCTCCTGCCTTGGCCTCCCGAGTTCACAGGTGTGCGCCACCACACCCAGCTTTTCAGGACACATTGATCCCTTTTGCAAAGTGCCTGGGACAGGCGCAGTCTGGGTCAGCTTCCTCTGCCCCGCCGGCCTCCTGCTGTTGCAGCTTCCCCGAGGCCACAGGGCCTCGCGTCCCAGAGCTTGGGCACCGCCTCCCTGTGCCGCCGCTGTGCCCTAGCGCCTGTGTCCCCTCGCTTCACTCGTTCCTTCCTGGTGCAGGGTGCCACTGGGGCTCAGGGTCTGAGTGGTAGCACAGCGGGCTTCCACACGCACATCACTGTCTCCGCGGCGTCCATCTGTGTCTGATCCTGTTTGTGGTGTTGGCTTTTTTATGGTACCGAGGATCGGACTCACAATTTCACATTTGCCAGGCAGGCGCTTAGGCCGCAGAGCTAAATCGCCAGCGGTGTTGGCTTTTGGAAGACAGGGCCTTGCCATGTCATCCTGGCCGGCCTTGAACTCACTCTGTCGCTCAGGCTGGCTCTGAACCGCTGCGATCCTCCTGCCTCAGCCTCCTAGGTGCTGGAGTTCCAGGTGCGCACTGCTGTGCCGTCTTCTTTCATCCGAATGCACCCGCCCCTTCGTCACTGCTTACCAAGCAACTTCAAGTCAGCCTCATTTCATCCGTGTATTTTTAGTGTGAATCTCTTTGCTGTAAGGACCCTTAACACAGCACGTGGTCACCCTGAAAGTCAGTAACAGTCTCTCCCTTCCTGGCCCGTCCGGACAGTGAGCGCCTTCCCCCTGGCCTTTTATCAGTCCTGGGCGTAGCTGTGCTGTCAGATAAATGCGGTGCGGCTGACTCCGCGGGCTTCTCTTCTGTCCTGTGCCCGATGAGCTCTGCACTGATCTTGGCCCTCTGTCCCCGCTGTAGCCCTGGGCTTCCCGGGGTTTAACTCTGGAGTCCACCCAGGAGCCCGTCCATCCCGGCCACAGTTATCCGGCCCTCAGGGGGTGACTTTTGCCTTGAAGCTCTCAGGGAGTCGGCACTGTCACTGCCTCTGCCAGCTCTGGCCCTGGCAGCTCAGCGGAGGACGCTGTCACTGCAGCCACAGCAGCGGGAGCCGTAGCTCTCTGTCATCTGCGGCTGCCGTCACTTCAGAGGGTTTGACTCGGTCCTTACAGACGCGTTCCTAGCACCAACCCCGTGTTCCCTGACTGACAGCATTGTTGGCTGCCAAGTTCAGGTTGCATGAAGTAGATGTCATTCCTGAACCTGCCACCCCGCGCCGCCCCAGGCGGTGCACCCTGGCTCTCTGGCTGCGCAGTGAGGAATTTCTGAAGCAGCGGGTGACGGAGCAGGGCTCCCGGGAGCCCCCGTCAGCCAGTGTACAGACACGGCATGGATGTCCTTCAGAAATACTCTTGGAAAGCAGGCACGAAGGCACCCACCTCCATCCCAGCACTTGGGAGGCTGAGGCAGGAGGATCCCAGCCTGCGCTACAGAATGACTGCAGGGCCAGCCAGACTGCATAAGGAGACCTTGTCTCAAAAAACCGAAAGCAATCAGCAACAAACACGTGGGGTGCCTATCGCCCACTCTTCCGTTAGATTGAGGCCCTGCCGGTGAGGCCTGGTAACCCCCGCTCTGTCGATGCAGGAAGTTCGTCTGCCTGAACGACAACATTGACCACAACCACAAGGACGCGCAGACCGTGAAGGCCGTGCTGCGGGACTTCTACGAGTCCATGTTCCCCCTGCCGTCGCAGTTCGAGCTGCCCCGGGAGTACCGCAACCGCTTCCTGCACGTGCGCGAGCTGCGCGAGTGGTGAGCCCTGGCCTGCCCGCAGCCGCCCAGCGGCCCTGACCTCCTTCCCTTCCTGTTACTCACCCTGTGACTTCTTTCTGGAAACACAGTAGAACGTGCACTGTGCTTTGTTAGTTTGGTTTGGGTTTTTGGAGACAAGGTCTTGATCTGTAGCCCAGGCTGGCCTTGAATTTGTGTCCTCCTGCCTCAGCCTCCCAGGTGTTAGGGTTGTAGGTATGTACCCCACACCTGGCTTTTACTGCTTCTGATATTGGAAAGACATTTTCTGGCATCTTAGGGACCTGAAAAAAATCGCATGCCTGGGGTTTTGGTTTAGCTGGGATTCCTCACGGTATCGGACTGCTTGTAGTCAGCACAGAAGGGAAGGGCTGGCTAGCCAGGTGGTCATGAGGGTGCCAGCCTGGCTCAGGCGAGGGTTCGGGAGCCCTGCTGGAGCTGTTAGGGGAGCCGTAGGACCACGCACGTCGGTGTCCTGGACAGGTGACCCGAAGGACAGACAGGTGTGGAGAGCAATGGCTTCTGCAGTCCTGTCTAGGTGGCACCACCCAGGCCGACCAGTGCCCTGCCTGGGCAGTGTCCTGGTCCTGCGGGCTCAGCCTGCACCCCGCTTTTCCCCACAGGAGAGCTTACCGAGACAAACTAAAGTTCTGGACCCACTGCGTCCTGGCCACGCTGATCATCTTCACCGTCTTCTCGTTTTTTGCCGAGCAGGTGAGTGACAGGGGTGTCACCAGCATCTCTCAGTGTGTCTACCCCACTGTGTGTGCCCCGTCCAGGCAGCCTGACCTGGTGGCCGCTGTCCCGTCACCTCTGGCCTCTGATGGAGCCAGCAGGTGAGCTCAAGGCCTCCCTACCTGGCCCCAGCCCACCTCGGAGCCCCCGGGCTTCCAGGCTCCATGCTCACCCAGTCTCTTTGAACTCCTTTGAGTGGCACTGGTGTCCCCAGGCTGAGTGTCACCGAAATGCTGGCAGTCAGTGTCCAGTTGCGTTTCCTGTGCCCTGGCTGGGTTCTCCCCTGTGCCCCTCTTCTGGTTCCTCTACCTGCTCCCGCATCCCCCTCTGTCCACCTGCATCCCCCTCTGCCCTGTCCAACCTCTCCAGCCCAGCCCTGGGTCCCCGGCTCACCTCCCCTGGAGATGAAGGAGGCAGAGGCGGGCTGAGGAGGATGCGTTAGGCTGCAGGGCGAGGCTCTTGGGGAAGTGTTCATACCGGCTCTGGGCTCCAAGCAGCTGCACAGGCTGATGATTCTCAGAGCTGTAGGCTCGGCCTTCTGGGCAGCGCTGCTGAAGGGAGCTTGGAGATGGCGAGTGGGCAGGAAGTGGCTTGGCCCTGGCCACCAAGGACGGAGGCGTCAGCCCCTGGCAACCTGGGGCGGGAATCAGAGGTGGCAGCTGGGAGGAGCTGCTGGGGCACAGAAGAAAACAGGGTCTTCTTTCTCTCATTGCTAAGACAAAGTGCCCGACACCCCGGTTAACGGGGCAGGGTTATTCGGCCATAGTTGGCCGGCAGAGGGCATGGCAGAGCACAGCTCATGGCGCCTGCTGAGTAGCAGAGGTAGCGGGGGTGGGGAGACAAGCCGCTTCCTATCCCTCAGGTCATATGCCGGCCGCCGCCTAGGGCCGGTGCGCGCTGACACCCTTCATCCCAGCCTGGCCGAATGGACCCAATTGGTGGCCAGTTAGGGACCCGTCACCCCTTGATCCAGCATCGAAGTCGCTCCAGCTCTGAGAAACCTCACAAATGTGGTCATTTTAGCCCAGAGGCAGCATCTTCATAATTAAACCGAGCCAGGTCCTCCGAAGGAAGCCTGGACACGTGGTGTCTGGGTTATGGATGCCATGGTGGAGGCTGTCAGTTGTGGGTGACAGCATCAGCACTGGGTCGCCTGGGCTGGAACCCGAGGGGCCGACCCAGGGCTCAGCCACGGGGCCGGGCGTGGCGTTTCTAGGGAGGGTCGAGCTGTGGTGGAACCGCCTGCTGCCCTGTCCCATCTGGGAGACCACGGCTGTGATTGATGGAGAGAAGGGAGCCGCGTTTATGCCTTCCAGCGGGGAAGTAACGTGTTCTCTGCCTTTCTCCTTTAGTTAATTGCCCTTAAGCGGAAGGTATTTCCCAGGAGGCGGACACACAAGGAAGCCAGCCCCGATCGCATCAAGGTCTAGCAGATCTTGGTTTGGAAGCTCCAAAGCCACCTACCTCAGCGTCACCGAGAGGGAGGACCGAGTGCTGGGCTGCTGCCTGGGACCCCTGCACACTCCGCGCCACCATGACGGTGGCTCCGAGCCCGCCTCGCTGAAAAGCATCCGCTCGTGGCCCACCCGGCCTTTTTATAAAGCTGCTGCCGATTTCCCTGGGTGACCGTGGCAAACTGAGAACAGAGGCCTGGCTGGGGGTCTCGAAGCCTGAAGCCTGGTCCCTGCCTCTGCGGGGTTGACTCCCCACGTCCGTGCGTCTGTCCGTTGTCACGAGTCACCGTCGCTGTCACGTTCCTGCTTCTGAGAGTAGCAAATCTGATTACTGAAATGACAGGGTACTGTCGCCTTTGACTGACAAGACAGAAGTCCCCAGATGAGTGAGGAAGACCCCAGTCCACTTCTGCCTGCTGACCAGCCCATGGCCAGCTGGGAACCTCGTCGCCGTTCTTCAGTCCCCAGAGGACGCACTGCGCTTTCCCACAGGCCTGATGACCAAGGGCTGCCGTGTTAGCGCTGCCTCTTAGAGATGTCGTTATGTTTTGGAAACGCACATAGACAAAAGTGTCTCCTTCCAGACGGGCAGTGCTGACCAAGGGCTGGCGCCCGGGGTCAGGTTTACCACCACCACCACCCCCCACCCATATTCCAGCCACAGCTGCTTTTGTGTACAGCATGAGTCAGTCAACAAACCTGTTCTGTAAAAGGCCAGCTGGCACGTAATCACAGGACACCTGTGTCCGTCACACATTCTAGGTGTTTGCAGTCTGCCTTCTGAGCTGTTCTTTAATACTTCAAGGCCCGTGCACAGCTGGACCTGACCCGCAGGCCCTGTCCGGGTAAACCCTGAGGCACAGTGATGTCTCCTAATATCATCTATGGTGGATTTGTGGCCACCCAATTCTACAAACCCTTTCTGAATTGAGACAGGTATTTTAAATCATGGTCTTAACAGTATTCTTCCATAGTGGCGCACATATTTGTAAAAAGAACTTGAAATGTAAATACTGTTTGTGCCGTTTTCCAAAATGGAAGTCTCGTAAACAGTTGTACGACTCTTTGACCGTAAATCTTGAGGCCTCCCTGTGCGCTAGCCCAGGACTCACTGGCCCGGCCATGTGGTGACTTGGGTGTTGCCTAAGCACTATGGAGGTTAAACAGAGATTGGTGTCAGGCTGTACCGGAGCGTCCTGCCCAGGTGAAATGGGTTCTGGATAAAATTCATCATGCGGGAAAATTCAGGGAGTTATCAGGATATCACTGTAATAGCAAAGAATTTATTCTAGAAAGGTTATACAGAAATAAAGATTTCTGCGTCACAGAGATTTCTCTAGTGACATAAACCCAGTCCACACCCCACGAAGAACTGGGAAATGGGTGGGATCATAGAGTCATAGGATATCCATGGGATCGTGCATCTTGTCATTCGGGAGGGTCATTGGGACGGGTACCCTGGAAGTTGATGAGTCGGTGGCCTTATGAATTTTGTTGTTTGTTGAGATAGGCTCTTACTATGCAGTTCAGGCTGTCCTCCAGCTCGCAGGAATCCTCCTGCCTCAGCCTCCCAAGTGCTGGGATGACGGGCGTGTTCAGCCTCATCTCCAGGCCTTGGGAAGTTGTGAAGCTGGAGACCATTCATGCAGACGTAGCCCTGGGGAGTCCAGTGTGTACCTAAGTCCATTTGGCTCCTGTGACAGACACGGGGGACTGAGTGATTTGTGAAGAACAGAAATTTATGCCCACACAGTCCTGAAGGCTGACAAGTCCAAGGTCAGAGCACCGCCAGGCTCCGCTGTCTGGTGGTGGATGACGCTCTGCTTGCAGGGTGGCACCTGGAACCCTGCCTCCCACTGGGGTGCCATCCTGTCCTCACAGGGCTCAGGGGCCAGGCACCCCGGGTCAAGCCCTTTATAAGGGCCCCATCCCACTGGGGCTCTGTCCTGTGAGCCGTCACAGGTGCCCCGTCTCAGCACCTTTCCGCCACTGCTGAGGTCTGGGCAGGAATTTTGAAGAGAATGAGACAAAACGCAGCACTGCACGATTCAAAAGAAGGGAAACTTCTCAGACAGCTGGACCTGAAGCGCGGAGCCCCAGGCCCGGCAGACGGGTTTTGAGGATGTGCACTTGTACCAATCCATGCTTTTCGTTGTTTTTTGTTTTTTTAGGTAAGATTTCTGTGTATCCCGGGCTGACCTTGACTTCACGGTGCTCCTCCTGCCTCAGCCTCCCCAGTGCTAGGATTACAGGCCTGTACGCCACCATGCCGGCTCAAAGCTGGGAGGTGTGGGGGAGGGAATGCCACACCCCGACTTGCTGTGGGTCTCACAGCCGTAAGGGTTGGAGGGGGCCTGGAACCCAGATCCTCTCCTGTCCCCCTGGCTCGTGTGGTCCCCACATGGCAGTGGCACCCACGCCTGTCACTCCACGTGTGCTTGGATGCCTGCCCAAGGCCTTCTGAAACAGAGGCCTACTCCGAAACCACCCACGGAGTCTTCAGTGTACCCTCACCCCTAGCCAGCCGCCCTGCCCCCTGCTGCAGGCTGGCCTTGGGCCACACTTGGAGAAGCTGGTATTTGAAGCCATGTGTATAAGTGAGAAGGTTTCACAAGGAAAGAAAACTAACTTGAGAAAGGAGAAAAACCAAGTTCTAGGAACCACAGAGATGTAAGTCTCCTGTTTTGTTTGAAGCTGAGGCAGGAGAATCACTGCAGGTTCCGGGGCAGCCTGGGTTACATAGGGTGGTATCTTGTCTCAAATAAATAAACAAATGCCCACCTCAAGAAAGGGGAAAGGTGGGAAAGAAAGAATCTAGTGGTCCAAAATTAAAGGTAGAAAAATAATAAAAGGAGTCTTAAGGACCAAAGGTAGAATAGAGCAAAAATAAAAGCAGTAAAGGTCAGAAAGTTTATTAGGTAATGCAGACAGGACTCCTGGGCGGGCACCCAGCATCATCACTACACACAGCCAGTCACAAAAGCGCCTTATTTTGGGGAGGCACCAGAGATTGAACCCACAACCTTGTGCTTGCCAGGCAGGTGCTTGTGTCCTTGAGCTAAATCTCTGACCCCAAAAGTGCTATTTTTGGCCAGAAGGAAACTTGGTCTCTCAGGTCTTCACTTGAATCTGGTGCTGTTTGCAGGACCAATCAGAAGATGTTCTTTTTGACCCTTCATTTGCATATGGGCACAGTGAATCAAGATATTCTGTTTCTGATCCTTCAGTAACATGAACAAATCTAAAGAGGTCTTTTGATTGGGCAGTTTATACATGGCATGACACCGGGTCAGTGTCTGATAGGGTGCTGCTCCAGTGCCTTACTTGCATGAGAGGGAGATACTTCCGTAACTGTGGCTACTACAGAAGGCCCCTTCCTCCTATCCTCTGGCCTCTGCGTCTGTTCACTGGAAGTTCTCGTTCTGCTGTTTTTCTGTTGTTGGTAAATGTACACCATTTAGACATGTTGTGGCACACGAAACACTCGGGAGGCTGAGGCAGGAGGATCACCATGAGTTCAAACCCAACCTGGGCTATATAGAGAGTTCTAGGCCAGCCTGGACTACATTGCGAGAATCTTCCTAAAAAAAACCAAATCTTGAGGAGAGTCTCCACCAAGAACCAGGAGATGAGACCAGACATTAGACTCCACCCTTCCTGGTTCTAGCTGGGAAAGGTTGGCAGGCAGGATCTGGAGAGAAAGAGCAGTGTCCCTTGGAGAAACGAGAAGGAAGGGGCCGTGGAGGTGAACGCCTGCGATCCCTGTACTTTGGAGGCAGAGGCAGGAGGGCAGCCGCCAGTTAAAGGCCAGGCTGGGCTACAGAGGGAGGCGGGGCCTGCAGAACAAACAGCTGAAGTGAGCAAATTGATAAGCAAGTGAAAGGACACACCTCCCTCCGCCCACTCAGTGCACACATGCACAGGCACGGGTAAAACACCACTAATAATAAGGAAATTTTAATAAAGGAGATTACTGCATTACTTAGTTGATTTTTGACACAAATTTCCAAAACTAAATGAAATCGAACATTTCTTTAAAAAAGTTGCTGATACTGTAACTGACCCACATAAAGGCAAAAAGTCTAAAATGACCAACTTCTACAGAAGAAACCAAGGAAACCTCCAGCTGCTCTCCAGGCTGTGTGATGTCCGCAGGCCATCTTTTTTTATTTTTCTGTTTCTTCTCAGCAGTTGAGATCTCAGCTCTATCTTTATAGTCCACAGCTTTCTGCCCAAACTCACATTTTAAATCACACTGTTAGGTTCTTTGGTCTTTATTTGCAACATGAATCTGTCTAAAAGCCCCAACTATAGCCATGCCACTGCCTCAACATTCGACTACCTTGAAATTTCTTTTGCCAGATTAATCAATCGCCCTTAACCTTAGTCTCAGGCAAAGTCTCTGGACAGAAGCAAAATGCCAAGCCGTGATATACATCAACTGGAGTCCAACAACCAATGCAGTCCTTCCCCCTGGCAGAAACCTCTCGAGCCTGGTCTTTACTGGTCTTCTGGTTCTGACCAGAATCTCCCATACAGAACAGCCTAAGTAGAGTGTTCCAGGGCTGCTCTTTCAGGGGACACCTCCAAACCTTTCCAAACTCTTCCCCCAAGTCAGTCCCAAAGGCTCTTGAACCACATGGTCAGGTACAGTCACAGCAATGCTCCCACTCCTGGTACCAAATTCTGTATTGATTGCTCTTCTCTTTGCTGAGATAAAATACCTAATGCCCAAAATTAGGGAAGTAAAGGTTTATTTAGCTTATAGTTCTTGGGGGTTTCAGTCCATACACAGCTGGCCACATGGCTGGGTGGGGTAGCTAAAGGGCAATCATTCATGGTAGCCACAAAGCTCCGCCTCTGGGCGGGGCCAGCACTCACCACCAATCCCAGGACTAGACAATGGCCAATCACAAACGCTAGACTGCCTGAGGCTTTGGGGGGACTGTCTCAGTATCAATTTCCATAATCTCTCAATGTCTCTCAGGGTTGCCTCCCATCTCTGTCACAGGAAACACACACAGGGCCAGGTCTGGAGCAAGGGGGCTGGACGCTGGATGCCTGAGGAGACATGGGGGACGCTGGTGAGACCTGGTCCCAATCAGCTGTGTTCACGGGCACACAGGTAGCAGGACCCTGTCAGAGCTGGCCTGGCACCACGCCTCGCGCCTGCGCAGCCCCCGCTGCCCATAACCCCGGAATGACCCTGGGACCTTCCCAAGGGGGCGGAGCCTTCCCACCCCACCCTCAGGGTCCAGCCAATCAGCACGCAGCACCCAGCCAATCAGCGCCACTCCTGCCTGAGGCGCGCGGGCTCTTTTCCCGCGCTGACAGCGAGTCTTCTCAGAGGCCTCGACGGCAGCCGGGGTGCGGGTGAGGCGGGCGGGAGCCGGCTCAGTCGTCAGTCGGTCAGCGTGTCGTCAGCGTCTCAGCGTCGCCTCTGGGGGCTCGGGGTTCGGCCGCGGGGACGTCGGGGCGGAGGGGAGGGGTCTGTGCGGAGCGGCCCGGGTGGTGCGGGACGCGCGGCCCGAGGCGGCCGGGGAAGAGGGTTATCTGAGGCGCTGGGCGCGACCCCAGGCCTCCCCACCGAGCCGCCTCCGCGCTGCGCAGTCCGGGCTGCGTCTGGAGACGTCCCGCCTCGGCCTCGGGCGTGGGCTGCGGGTCCCGGCCCCGGCCCCTCACCGCGCGCTGCCCGCCAGGTGCGGAGCGGAGCGGAGCGGAGCGATGGTGCCCAGCGGGAAGAAGCAGCCCGGCCGGGCGGGCAAGGCGGCCAAGGCGGCCGAGGAGCAGCCCGCCAGCGCCTACGCCGCCGAGAAGGACGAGCGCGAGCTGAGCGGCTCCGAGGACGAGGACGACGACGAGGACCGGGCGGCGCCCGCAGGTGCGCGGAGGCCGAGGCAGGAGGGCGCCGGTTCCCGGGCGGCAGGCGGCCGGCCCTGCGCAGCAGCCCGACGCGCTCGCCACGGCGCCCTCCTGCCTCCCTGTCCCTGCAGGAAAGGTCCCGGCCATGGACAAGCGCGGGAAGAAGCGGTCCTCGGCGGAGCTCCTGGAGGACATGGGGTAGGCGCCTCGCGGGCCGCGGGAGCTCGGCTGCTTCTGTTGGGCTTCGGCCGCGCTGGGGTGAAGCGGGCCGTGGGCATGCCAGGGGCTCCCCGCCAGGCCTCACGGCTTTTACATGCCATTTATCCGCAGCGGTGAAGTGCAGAATATGCTGGAAAAATTCGGAGGTACGTGTTCGGAGACGCTCCAGCCCTAACCCTAACCCTAACCCTGTGTGTTCGTTCACTCACTGATTTTTGGTACCTGGAACGGAACTGACAATCGAGCTTGCCAGGCAGGCGCTTGTGCTGCTGAGCTGCATCCCCAGCCCGATTCTCCTATTTAAATAAAGTTACTTTAAACTTCTGTGATTTGTATAGTAGGAACTGTTAATCAGACTGTATTATTCAGTGCTTTGCTTTATACATTTGCGATTTGGCTTCATAGGTTTCCTTATTTACTCTTTCACTGATATGAATGGGAATGGCTTGCAGACGCGTGACTTTAATGGAATTTTAGAAGAAAAATAGATGTATAAAGTATTTATGTAGTTGTACAGCTCCATTATCCTTACTGAAAGGTAACTGTGAATCCATAATAAAGGTATATGGTTAGCAAAGTATGAAAATTTTATAAAATGCAGTACTTAATCATAAAAATACGCCATGAAATTTCCACAAAAGTATTTAAAAGTGCTCTCAAATGTTTGCTATCTTTGGTCTGTGTTTCTCTTAGTAAAATATACACTTAAAAGCATCTTTTTTTTTTTTTTTTTACAAATAGTTGTTTGTGTGTTTGATATAATTATTCTTTCATGGGTTTTATGTTATGAATTCTAAGGATAATTGAGCCAGGTGTGTTCTTTCAGTTGAAGAATGTTTTATAAATTTAGAAAAACAAAGCCTTTATTGAAATTTTCTCATGAGAAAATTGAAGTCTATCTTTGATGTTTTATTTATTGCTCTTAAAAATCATTCATAAGTTTAAAAATTATCTTCAGTTAGGAAAATCAAAATTAGGATAAGGTTGGATATTTCTCACTCAAAATCTCTGGGACAAAAATGTTTCAGGTTTTAGAGTTTATTTTGGTTTCAGAATATTTGAAGACTTTACTAGTTGTGCGTCCCTAGTCTGAAAGTCCAAAATCCTAAGTGCTTCTAAATATGAAATGTTTTGAGCATGATATTGGCACTATATTAAAAACATATATATATTTTTTCAGTACCGGGAATCAAATTCAGGATCTCGTGCCTACTATTTTATGTCTTCATGTTATCATTGAAGGAACTTTTGCCATATTTATGTTTGCTTGAATATATGGGAACAAAGTAATTTTCAGGATTAAATTTCAATAAATAATTATTTTCAACATAGCTGACATTAACAAGGCTCTCCTTGCCAAGAGAAAAAGACTAGAAATGTATACCAAGGCTTCCTTCAAATCCAGTAGCCAGAAAATTGAACATGTTTGGAAAACTCAACAAGAACAAAGGTAAGGTGGCTGGTTTTGTTATAGTTACATTTGTATCATTTCTTAGTATATACAGGTACACTTGGGAAAGTGACTACCTTCTGTTTATTGGAGTCTCTAGTGACAATATATTTGGCTTGATGGGGCATGAGGTGCATGCTTGTTATTCCAGCATTTAAGAGGCTGAAGCAGGAGGATCTTGAGTTGTTGAGGGTTTTTTTGTTTGTTTGTTTGTTTGTTTGGGTTTTTTTGGCTCTTGTGTTTGAAGCCAGCTTGGGGTACCTAGACCTATCTAAAAAGGAAAAAAAGGCGTCCATCTGTGTCTGATCCTGTTTGTGGTGTTGGCTTTTTTATGGTACCGAGGATCGGACTCACAATTTCACATTTGCCAGGCAGGCGCTTAGGCCGCAGAGCTAAATCGCCAGCGGTGTTGGCTTTTGGAAGACAGGGCCTTGCCATGTCATCCTGGCCGGCCTTGAACTCACTCTGTCGCTCAGGCTGGCTCTGAACCGCTGCGATCCTCCTGCCTCAGCCTCCTAGGTGCTGGAGTTCCAGGTGCGCACTGCTGTGCCGTCTTCTTTCATCCGAATGCACCCGCCCCTTCGTCACTGCTTACCAAGCAACTTCAAGTCAGCCTCATTTCATCCGTGTATTTTTAGTGTGAATCTCTTTGCTGTAAGGACCCTTAACACAGCACGTGGTCACCCTGAAAGTCAGTAACAGTCTCTCCCTTCCTGGCCCGTCCGGACAGTGAGCGCCTTCCCCCTGGCCTTTTATCAGTCCTGGGCGTAGCTGTGCTGTCAGATAAATGCGGTGCGGCTGACTCCGCGGGCTTCTCTTCTGTCCTGTGCCCGATGAGCTCTGCACTGATCTTGGCCCTCTGTCCCCGCTGTAGCCCTGGGCTTCCCGGGGTTTAACTCTGGAGTCCACCCAGGAGCCCGTCCATCCCGGCCACAGTTATCCGGCCCTCAGGGGGTGACTTTTGCCTTGAAGCTCTCAGGGAGTCGGCACTGTCACTGCCTCTGCCAGCTCTGGCCCTGGCAGCTCAGCGGAGGACGCTGTCACTGCAGCCACAGCAGCGGGAGCCGTAGCTCTCTGTCATCTGCGGCTGCCGTCACTTCAGAGGGTTTGACTCGGTCCTTACAGACGCGTTCCTAGCACCAACCCCGTGTTCCCTGACTGACAGCATTGTTGGCTGCCAAGTTCAGGTTGCATGAAGTAGATGTCATTCCTGAACCTGCCACCCCGCGCCGCCCCAGGCGGTGCACCCTGGCTCTCTGGCTGCGCAGTGAGGAATTTCTGAAGCAGCGGGTGACGGAGCAGGGCTCCCGGGAGCCCCCGTCAGCCAGTGTACAGACACGGCATGGATGTCCTTCAGAAATACTCTTGGAAAGCAGGCACGAAGGCACCCACCTCCATCCCAGCACTTGGGAGGCTGAGGCAGGAGGATCCCAGCCTGCGCTACAGAATGACTGCAGGGCCAGCCAGACTGCATAAGGAGACCTTGTCTCAAAAAACCGAAAGCAATCAGCAACAAACACGTGGGGTGCCTATCGCCCACTCTTCCGTTAGATTGAGGCCCTGCCGGTGAGGCCTGGTAACCCCCGCTCTGTCGATGCAGGAAGTTCGTCTGCCTGAACGACAACATTGACCACAACCACAAGGACGCGCAGACCGTGAAGGCCGTGCTGCGGGACTTCTACGAGTCCATGTTCCCCCTGCCGTCGCAGTTCGAGCTGCCCCGGGAGTACCGCAACCGCTTCCTGCACGTGCGCGAGCTGCGCGAGTGGTGAGCCCTGGCCTGCCCGCAGCCGCCCAGCGGCCCTGACCTCCTTCCCTTCCTGTTACTCACCCTGTGACTTCTTTCTGGAAACACAGTAGAACGTGCACTGTGCTTTGTTAGTTTGGTTTGGGTTTTTGGAGACAAGGTCTTGATCTGTAGCCCAGGCTGGCCTTGAATTTGTGTCCTCCTGCCTCAGCCTCCCAGGTGTTAGGGTTGTAGGTATGTACCCCACACCTGGCTTTTACTGCTTCTGATATTGGAAAGACATTTTCTGGCATCTTAGGGACCTGAAAAAAATCGCATGCCTGGGGTTTTGGTTTAGCTGGGATTCCTCACGGTATCGGACTGCTTGTAGTCAGCACAGAAGGGAAGGGCTGGCTAGCCAGGTGGTCATGAGGGTGCCAGCCTGGCTCAGGCGAGGGTTCGGGAGCCCTGCTGGAGCTGTTAGGGGAGCCGTAGGACCACGCACGTCGGTGTCCTGGACAGGTGACCCGAAGGACAGACAGGTGTGGAGAGCAATGGCTTCTGCAGTCCTGTCTAGGTGGCACCACCCAGGCCGACCAGTGCCCTGCCTGGGCAGTGTCCTGGTCCTGCGGGCTCAGCCTGCACCCCGCTTTTCCCCACAGGAGAGCTTACCGAGACAAACTAAAGTTCTGGACCCACTGCGTCCTGGCCACGCTGATCATCTTCACCGTCTTCTCGTTTTTTGCCGAGCAGGTGAGTGACAGGGGTGTCACCAGCATCTCTCAGTGTGTCTACCCCACTGTGTGTGCCCCGTCCAGGCAGCCTGACCTGGTGGCCGCTGTCCCGTCACCTCTGGCCTCTGATGGAGCCAGCAGGTGAGCTCAAGGCCTCCCTACCTGGCCCCAGCCCACCTCGGAGCCCCCGGGCTTCCAGGCTCCATGCTCACCCAGTCTCTTTGAACTCCTTTGAGTGGCACTGGTGTCCCCAGGCTGAGTGTCACCGAAATGCTGGCAGTCAGTGTCCAGTTGCGTTTCCTGTGCCCTGGCTGGGTTCTCCCCTGTGCCCCTCTTCTGGTTCCTCTACCTGCTCCCGCATCCCCCTCTGTCCACCTGCATCCCCCTCTGCCCTGTCCAACCTCTCCAGCCCAGCCCTGGGTCCCCGGCTCACCTCCCCTGGAGATGAAGGAGGCAGAGGCGGGCTGAGGAGGATGCGTTAGGCTGCAGGGCGAGGCTCTTGGGGAAGTGTTCATACCGGCTCTGGGCTCCAAGCAGCTGCACAGGCTGATGATTCTCAGAGCTGTAGGCTCGGCCTTCTGGGCAGCGCTGCTGAAGGGAGCTTGGAGATGGCGAGTGGGCAGGAAGTGGCTTGGCCCTGGCCACCAAGGACGGAGGCGTCAGCCCCTGGCAACCTGGGGCGGGAATCAGAGGTGGCAGCTGGGAGGAGCTGCTGGGGCACAGAAGAAAACAGGGTCTTCTTTCTCTCATTGCTAAGACAAAGTGCCCGACACCCCGGTTAACGGGGCAGGGTTATTCGGCCATAGTTGGCCGGCAGAGGGCATGGCAGAGCACAGCTCATGGCGCCTGCTGAGTAGCAGAGGTAGCGGGGGTGGGGAGACAAGCCGCTTCCTATCCCTCAGGTCATATGCCGGCCGCCGCCTAGGGCCGGTGCGCGCTGACACCCTTCATCCCAGCCTGGCCGAATGGACCCAATTGGTGGCCAGTTAGGGACCCGTCACCCCTTGATCCAGCATCGAAGTCGCTCCAGCTCTGAGAAACCTCACAAATGTGGTCATTTTAGCCCAGAGGCAGCATCTTCATAATTAAACCGAGCCAGGTCCTCCGAAGGAAGCCTGGACACGTGGTGTCTGGGTTATGGATGCCATGGTGGAGGCTGTCAGTTGTGGGTGACAGCATCAGCACTGGGTCGCCTGGGCTGGAACCCGAGGGGCCGACCCAGGGCTCAGCCACGGGGCCGGGCGTGGCGTTTCTAGGGAGGGTCGAGCTGTGGTGGAACCGCCTGCTGCCCTGTCCCATCTGGGAGACCACGGCTGTGATTGATGGAGAGAAGGGAGCCGCGTTTATGCCTTCCAGCGGGGAAGTAACGTGTTCTCTGCCTTTCTCCTTTAGTTAATTGCCCTTAAGCGGAAGGTATTTCCCAGGAGGCGGACACACAAGGAAGCCAGCCCCGATCGCATCAAGGTCTAGCAGATCTTGGTTTGGAAGCTCCAAAGCCACCTACCTCAGCGTCACCGAGAGGGAGGACCGAGTGCTGGGCTGCTGCCTGGGACCCCTGCACACTCCGCGCCACCATGACGGTGGCTCCGAGCCCGCCTCGCTGAAAAGCATCCGCTCGTGGCCCACCCGGCCTTTTTATAAAGCTGCTGCCGATTTCCCTGGGTGACCGTGGCAAACTGAGAACAGAGGCCTGGCTGGGGGTCTCGAAGCCTGAAGCCTGGTCCCTGCCTCTGCGGGGTTGACTCCCCACGTCCGTGCGTCTGTCCGTTGTCACGAGTCACCGTCGCTGTCACGTTCCTGCTTCTGAGAGTAGCAAATCTGATTACTGAAATGACAGGGTACTGTCGCCTTTGACTGACAAGACAGAAGTCCCCAGATGAGTGAGGAAGACCCCAGTCCACTTCTGCCTGCTGACCAGCCCATGGCCAGCTGGGAACCTCGTCGCCGTTCTTCAGTCCCCAGAGGACGCACTGCGCTTTCCCACAGGCCTGATGACCAAGGGCTGCCGTGTTAGCGCTGCCTCTTAGAGATGTCGTTATGTTTTGGAAACGCACATAGACAAAAGTGTCTCCTTCCAGACGGGCAGTGCTGACCAAGGGCTGGCGCCCGGGGTCAGGTTTACCACCACCACCACCCCCCACCCATATTCCAGCCACAGCTGCTTTTGTGTACAGCATGAGTCAGTCAACAAACCTGTTCTGTAAAAGGCCAGCTGGCACGTAATCACAGGACACCTGTGTCCGTCACACATTCTAGGTGTTTGCAGTCTGCCTTCTGAGCTGTTCTTTAATACTTCAAGGCCCGTGCACAGCTGGACCTGACCCGCAGGCCCTGTCCGGGTAAACCCTGAGGCACAGTGATGTCTCCTAATATCATCTATGGTGGATTTGTGGCCACCCAATTCTACAAACCCTTTCTGAATTGAGACAGGTATTTTAAATCATGGTCTTAACAGTATTCTTCCATAGTGGCGCACATATTTGTAAAAAGAACTTGAAATGTAAATACTGTTTGTGCCGTTTTCCAAAATGGAAGTCTCGTAAACAGTTGTACGACTCTTTGACCGTAAATCTTGAGGCCTCCCTGTGCGCTAGCCCAGGACTCACTGGCCCGGCCATGTGGTGACTTGGGTGTTGCCTAAGCACTATGGAGGTTAAACAGAGATTGGTGTCAGGCTGTACCGGAGCGTCCTGCCCAGGTGAAATGGGTTCTGGATAAAATTCATCATGCGGGAAAATTCAGGGAGTTATCAGGATATCACTGTAATAGCAAAGAATTTATTCTAGAAAGGTTATACAGAAATAAAGATTTCTGCGTCACAGAGATTTCTCTAGTGACATAAACCCAGTCCACACCCCACGAAGAACTGGGAAATGGGTGGGATCATAGAGTCATAGGATATCCATGGGATCGTGCATCTTGTCATTCGGGAGGGTCATTGGGACGGGTACCCTGGAAGTTGATGAGTCGGTGGCCTTATGAATTTTGTTGTTTGTTGAGATAGGCTCTTACTATGCAGTTCAGGCTGTCTTCCAGCTCGCAGGAATCCTCCTGCCTCAGCCTCCCAAGTGCTGGGATGACGGGCGTGTTCAGCCTCATCTCCAGGCCTTGGGAAGTTGTGAAGCTGGAGACCATTCATGCAGACGTAGCCCTGGGGAGTCCAGTGTGTACCTAAGTCCATTTGGCTCCTGTGACAGACACGGGGGACTGAGTGATTTGTGAAGAACAGAAATTTATGCCCACACAGTCCTGAAGGCTGACAAGTCCAAGGTCAGAGCACCGCCAGGCTCCGCTGTCTGGTGGTGGATGACGCTCTGCTTGCAGGGTGGCACCTGGAACCCTGCCTCCCACTGGGGTGCCATCCTGTCCTCACAGGGCTCAGGGGCCAGGCACCCCGGGTCAAGCCCTTTATAAGGGCCCCATCCCACTGGGGCTCTGTCCTGTGAGCCGTCACAGGTGCCCCGTCTCAGCACCTTTCCGCCACTGCTGAGGTCTGGGCAGGAATTTTGAAGAGAATGAGACAAAACGCAGCACTGCACGATTCAAAAGAAGGGAAACTTCTCAGACAGCTGGACCTGAAGCGCGGAGCCCCAGGCCCGGCAGACGGGTTTTGAGGATGTGCACTTGTACCAATCCATGCTTTTCGTTGTTTTTTGTTTTTTTAGGTAAGATTTCTGTGTATCCCGGGCTGACCTTGACTTCACGGTGCTCCTCCTGCCTCAGCCTCCCCAGTGCTAGGATTACAGGCCTGTACGCCACCATGCCGGCTCAAAGCTGGGAGGTGTGGGGGAGGGAATGCCACACCCCGACTTGCTGTGGGTCTCACAGCCGTAAGGGTTGGAGGGGGCCTGGAACCCAGATCCTCTCCTGTCCCCCTGGCTCGTGTGGTCCCCACATGGCAGTGGCACCCACGCCTGTCACTCCACGTGTGCTTGGATGCCTGCCCAAGGCCTTCTGAAACAGAGGCCTACTCCGAAACCACCCACGGAGTCTTCAGTGTACCCTCACCCCTAGCCAGCCGCCCTGCCCCCTGCTGCAGGCTGGCCTTGGGCCACACTTGGAGAAGCTGGTATTTGAAGCCATGTGTATAAGTGAGAAGGTTTCACAAGGAAAGAAAACTAACTTGAGAAAGGAGAAAAACCAAGTTCTAGGAACCACAGAGATGTAAGTCTCCTGTTTTGTTTGAAGCTGAGGCAGGAGAATCACTGCAGGTTCCGGGGCAGCCTGGGTTACATAGGGTGGTATCTTGTCTCAAATAAATAAACAAATGCCCACCTCAAGAAAGGGGAAAGGTGGGAAAGAAAGAATCTAGTGGTCCAAAATTAAAGGTAGAAAAATAATAAAAGGAGTCTTAAGGACCAAAGGTAGAATAGAGCAAAAATAAAAGCAGTAAAGGTCAGAAAGTTTATTAGGTAATGCAGACAGGACTCCTGGGCGGGCACCCAGCATCATCACTACACACAGCCAGTCACAAAAGCGCCTTATTTTGGGGAGGCACCAGAGATTGAACCCACAACCTTGTGCTTGCCAGGCAGGTGCTTGTGTCCTTGAGCTAAATCTCTGACCCCAAAAGTGCTATTTTTGGCCAGAAGGAAACTTGGTCTCTCAGGTCTTCACTTGAATCTGGTGCTGTTTGCAGGACCAATCAGAAGATGTTCTTTTTGACCCTTCATTTGCATATGGGCACAGTGAATCAAGATATTCTGTTTCTGATCCTTCAGTAACATGAACAAATCTAAAGAGGTCTTTTGATTGGGCAGTTTATACATGGCATGACACCGGGTCAGTGTCTGATAGGGTGCTGCTCCAGTGCCTTACTTGCATGAGAGGGAGATACTTCCGTAACTGTGGCTACTACAGAAGGCCCCTTCCTCCTATCCTCTGGCCTCTGCGTCTGTTCACTGGAAGTTCTCGTTCTGCTGTTTTTCTGTTGTTGGTAAATGTACACCATTTAGACATGTTGTGGCACACGAAACACTCGGGAGGCTGAGGCAGGAGGATCACCATGAGTTCAAACCCAACCTGGGCTATATAGAGAGTTCTAGGCCAGCCTGGACTACATTGCGAGAATCTTCCTAAAAAAAACCAAATCTTGAGGAGAGTCTCCACCAAGAACCAGGAGATGAGACCAGACATTAGACTCCACCCTTCCTGGTTCTAGCTGGGAAAGGTTGGCAGGCAGGATCTGGAGAGAAAGAGCAGTGTCCCTTGGAGAAACGAGAAGGAAGGGGCCGTGGAGGTGAACGCCTGCGATCCCTGTACTTTGGAGGCAGAGGCAGGAGGGCAGCCGCCAGTTAAAGGCCAGGCTGGGCTACAGAGGGAGGCGGGGCCTGCAGAACAAACAGCTGAAGTGAGCAAATTGATAAGCAAGTGAAAGGACACACCTCCCTCCGCCCACTCAGTGCACACATGCACAGGCACGGGTAAAACACCACTAATAATAAGGAAATTTTAATAAAGGAGATTACTGCATTACTTAGTTGATTTTTGACACAAATTTCCAAAACTAAATGAAATCGAACATTTCTTTAAAAAAGTTGCTGATACTGTAACTGACCCACATAAAGGCAAAAAGTCTAAAATGACCAACTTCTACAGAAGAAACCAAGGAAACCTCCAGCTGCTCTCCAGGCTGTGTGATGTCCGCAGGCCATCTTTTTTTATTTTTCTGTTTCTTCTCAGCAGTTGAGATCTCAGCTCTATCTTTATAGTCCACAGCTTTCTGCCCAAACTCACATTTTAAATCACACTGTTAGGTTCTTTGGTCTTTATTTGCAACATGAATCTGTCTAAAAGCCCCAACTATAGCCATGCCACTGCCTCAACATTCGACTACCTTGAAATTTCTTTTGCCAGATTAATCAATCGCCCTTAACCTTAGTCTCAGGCAAAGTCTCTGGACAGAAGCAAAATGCCAAGCCGTGATATACATCAACTGGAGTCCAACAACCAATGCAGTCCTTCCCCCTGGCAGAAACCTCTCGAGCCTGGTCTTTACTGGTCTTCTGGTTCTGACCAGAATCTCCCATACAGAACAGCCTAAGTAGAGTGTTCCAGGGCTGCTCTTTCAGGGGACACCTCCAAACCTTTCCAAACTCTTCCCCCAAGTCAGTCCCAAAGGCTCTTGAACCACATGGTCAGGTACAGTCACAGCAATGCTCCCACTCCTGGTACCAAATTCTGTATTGATTGCTCTTCTCTTTGCTGAGATAAAATACCTAATGCCCAAAATTAGGGAAGTAAAGGTTTATTTAGCTTATAGTTCTTGGGGGTTTCAGTCCATACACAGCTGGCCACATGGCTGGGTGGGGTAGCTAAAGGGCAATCATTCATGGTAGCCACAAAGCTCCGCCTCTGGGCGGGGCCAGCACTCACCACCAATCCCAGGACTAGACAATGGCCAATCACAAACGCTAGACTGCCTGAGGCTTTGGGGGGACTGTCTCAGTATCAATTTCCATAATCTCTCAATGTCTCTCAGGGTTGCCTCCCATCTCTGTCACAGGAAACACACACAGGGCCAGGTCTGGAGCAAGGGGGCTGGACGCTGGATGCCTGAGGAGACATGGGGGACGCTGGTGAGACCTGGTCCCAATCAGCTGTGTTCACGGGCACACAGGTAGCAGGACCCTGTCAGAGCTGGCCTGGCACCACGCCTCGCGCCTGCGCAGCCCCCGCTGCCCATAACCCCGGAATGACCCTGGGACCTTCCCAAGGGGGCGGAGCCTTCCCACCCCACCCTCAGGGTCCAGCCAATCAGCACGCAGCACCCAGCCAATCAGCGCCACTCCTGCCTGAGGCGCGCGGGCTCTTTTCCCGCGCTGACAGCGAGTCTTCTCAGAGGCCTCGACGGCAGCCGGGGTGCGGGTGAGGCGGGCGGGAGCCGGCTCAGTCGTCAGTCGGTCAGCGTGTCGTCAGCGTCTCAGCGTCGCCTCTGGGGGCTCGGGGTTCGGCCGCGGGGACGTCGGGGCGGAGGGGAGGGGTCTGTGCGGAGCGGCCCGGGTGGTGCGGGACGCGCGGCCCGAGGCGGCCGGGGAAGAGGGTTATCTGAGGCGCTGGGCGCGACCCCAGGCCTCCCCACCGAGCCGCCTCCGCGCTGCGCAGTCCGGGCTGCGTCTGGAGACGTCCCGCCTCGGCCTCGGGCGTGGGCTGCGGGTCCCGGCCCCGGCCCCTCACCGCGCGCTGCCCGCCAGGTGCGGAGCGGAGCGGAGCGGAGCGATGGTGCCCAGCGGGAAGAAGCAGCCCGGCCGGGCGGGCAAGGCGGCCAAGGCGGCCGAGGAGCAGCCCGCCAGCGCCTACGCCGCCGAGAAGGACGAGCGCGAGCTGAGCGGCTCCGAGGACGAGGACGACGACGAGGACCGGGCGGCGCCCGCAGGTGCGCGGAGGCCGAGGCAGGAGGGCGCCGGTTCCCGGGCGGCAGGCGGCCGGCCCTGCGCAGCAGCCCGACGCGCTCGCCACGGCGCCCTCCTGCCTCCCTGTCCCTGCAGGAAAGGTCCCGGCCATGGACAAGCGCGGGAAGAAGCGGTCCTCGGCGGAGCTCCTGGAGGACATGGGGTAGGCGCCTCGCGGGCCGCGGGAGCTCGGCTGCTTCTGTTGGGCTTCGGCCGCGCTGGGGTGAAGCGGGCCGTGGGCATGCCAGGGGCTCCCCGCCAGGCCTCACGGCTTTTACATGCCATTTATCCGCAGCGGTGAAGTGCAGAATATGCTGGAAAAATTCGGAGGTACGTGTTCGGAGACGCTCCAGCCCTAACCCTAACCCTAACCCTGTGTGTTCGTTCACTCACTGATTTTTGGTACCTGGAACGGAACTGACAATCGAGCTTGCCAGGCAGGCGCTTGTGCTGCTGAGCTGCATCCCCAGCCCGATTCTCCTATTTAAATAAAGTTACTTTAAACTTCTGTGATTTGTATAGTAGGAACTGTTAATCAGACTGTATTATTCAGTGCTTTGCTTTATACATTTGCGATTTGGCTTCATAGGTTTCCTTATTTACTCTTTCACTGATATGAATGGGAATGGCTTGCAGACGCGTGACTTTAATGGAATTTTAGAAGAAAAATAGATGTATAAAGTATTTATGTAGTTGTACAGCTCCATTATCCTTACTGAAAGGTAACTGTGAATCCATAATAAAGGTATATGGTTAGCAAAGTATGAAAATTTTATAAAATGCAGTACTTAATCATAAAAATACGCCATGAAATTTCCACAAAAGTATTTAAAAGTGCTCTCAAATGTTTGCTATCTTTGGTCTGTGTTTCTCTTAGTAAAATATACACTTAAAAGCATCTTTTTTTTTTTTTTTTACAAATAGTTGTTTGTGTGTTTGATATAATTATTCTTTCATGGGTTTTATGTTATGAATTCTAAGGATAATTGAGCCAGGTGTGTTCTTTCAGTTGAAGAATGTTTTATAAATTTAGAAAAACAAAGCCTTTATTGAAATTTTCTCATGAGAAAATTGAAGTCTATCTTTGATGTTTTATTTATTGCTCTTAAAAATCATTCATAAGTTTAAAAATTATCTTCAGTTAGGAAAATCAAAATTAGGATAAGGTTGGATATTTCTCACTCAAAATCTCTGGGACAAAAATGTTTCAGGTTTTAGAGTTTATTTTGGTTTCAGAATATTTGAAGACTTTACTAGTTGTGCGTCCCTAGTCTGAAAGTCCAAAATCCTAAGTGCTTCTAAATATGAAATGTTTTGAGCATGATATTGGCACTATATTAAAAACATATATATATTTTTTCAGTACCGGGAATCAAATTCAGGATCTCGTGCCTACTATTTTATGTCTTCATGTTATCATTGAAGGAACTTTTGCCATATTTATGTTTGCTTGAATATATGGGAACAAAGTAATTTTCAGGATTAAATTTCAATAAATAATTATTTTCAACATAGCTGACATTAACAAGGCTCTCCTTGCCAAGAGAAAAAGACTAGAAATGTATACCAAGGCTTCCTTCAAATCCAGTAGCCAGAAAATTGAACATGTTTGGAAAACTCAACAAGAACAAAGGTAAGGTGGCTGGTTTTGTTATAGTTACATTTGTATCATTTCTTAGTATATACAGGTACACTTGGGAAAGTGACTACCTTCTGTTTATTGGAGTCTCTAGTGACAATATATTTGGCTTGATGGGGCATGAGGTGCATGCTTGTTATTCCAGCATTTAAGAGGCTGAAGCAGGAGGATCTTGAGTTGTTGAGGGTTTTTTTGTTTGTTTGTTTGTTTGTTTGGGTTTTTTTGGCTCTTGTGTTTGAAGCCAGCTTGGGGTACCTAGACCTATCTAAAAAGGAAAAAAAAAGAAAACAAAAACAAAGGAAGGAAAGAAAGGAGGGAGGGAGTAGAAAAGGTACTTTGATTTTTTTCTGTAAGCAAGTGATAAATTGCTTTTTGTTTGTTGGTTTGGTTTTTGGCTTTTTGAGACAGGGTCCCATTATGCAACTCAGGCTGGCCTTGAATTCACTTTGTAGTCTAGGCTGGCCTTGAACTCAGCAACCCTCCTGCCTCAGCCTTCCAAGTACTAGGATTATAGCCATGTGTCACCACATTTGGCATCAACCTTGCTTTTTGAAGTAACAAGTGAGGGTTTTTTTAAATTCTAATTAATTCTAGGAAATTTATATTCATTCTGAAGATCACTAGTAAAAGATAAATGTTACAGAAAGTATTTGTTGTCTGGTAGTTAACTATGTTTGGCAGTGTAGAAAAGGTTGATTTTGTTATAAATTTTATATATTTACATTGCAAAATATATATTTTACATTATATTTCATATATTTATATTGTAAAATTTGTTAGTTTTAGCTGACTTTATTTCTTTGTACAAAGTCATTGCCAACATGGGGGAAAAGTGAGTGAAATATTTTTATTTGGAAATCATTTACCCTATTTTTCATAGCAGAACCTATATTAAGTAGGATACATAAAAATACACTCCTTGGAAATAAAATAGGTTTTCTGGGAAATTTACATAGATGATAAATAAAATACTTTTGAAATTGAAGTAAATCTAATTTCTTAGTTTCCTCACAGGATATTTCAGCTGCTATTGTTTCCTTCCTTCCAGACAGTATGCAGAGAGGTCAGGTCAGTTTTGAATGTTTTTTCCTCCCATATGGAAAGTCATGATACTCATTCCTATGTTTTTCAGGCAGAAACTTAACCAAGAGTACTCGGAGCAGTTCCTGGCTGTGTTTCAGCAGTGGGACACCGACCTGAAGAAGGCAGAGGAACAGGAGGAGAAGCTGGTGGTTGGTATCGCTATGGCTTCCTAACAAGCCTGTCCCGGCCGGGCCCTGGGCAGGCCGGAAGGGAGGCACTGGCAGATGTGCTCTACTCTGTGAAGCTCTGGCCGGTGCTGCCTGTGCTGCTCGGGACTCTTGCCATGCAGGTGATGGACATTTGCCAGAGGACGAAAAGAAGATGAGTAGGAAAGAAATCAGGGGTGCTTAACTGGAGGCACAGTTGGACAGGGCTGGGAAGGAGGCCCTGTTGCCAGTTCTTAGTGGGTTCACTTACGCAGCAAGATGGTTCCTGCCCTCCTGGACTCAGAGGAAATCAGTAATGGCAGGGCAGCAACAGTCCTCAGTGGCCCTGGCAGGAGACCCTGACTCTCACTGATGGACTTTTCTGTTTGCCCACTCCTGACCCAGTCATAGAGACAGAACATGGTTTATGCTCAGTTTTTTCCAGTGAGGTGCTGGGGCTGGACTCCAGGGCCATGAGTGTGCTGGGCAGGCGCTCTGTCCCTGAGCAGATCCGGCTGAGACGCTTACTCTTCTTGTCCACTGGTGTTCCCTGTCCGTGCCCAGGGCAGGTGGCAGTCATCTCCACCCAGCTGTGTAGCTGCACTAACTGTTCCTCCAGTGTCCTTTCATGATTGTACTTATCAGACATTGCTTAGCTAAGAGCTGGGGTACTAGTGTGACCAAGTAACTCTGGGGCCGGTGGACCAGCTCATGAAGTAGCCACGGAGAGGCTCAGTGTGAGTCTGCAGTTTAGGGGTGGCATGTGAGCCGAGAATCATAGGTCGGGAACTCTAAACCTGAAGAGGGCAGACTGCAGCTATCCAGGGAAATCTCAGACAGATCCCGGGGGGACATCAGTATTTAGGACTCTAGGAGGTGAGAGGAGCCAGGAAGGGACCCTGACAGTATGGCCTGACCACATGTGGACAGCAAAGCTCTGTGGGCTGAGCAAAGTCATTTAAGAAAAGGACCATGGTGGTACATGCCTGTAATCCCAGTACTCAGTAGGCTGAGGCAAGAGGATCCCTGTGAGTTCAAGGCCTGCGTGGCTACATAGTGGGTTCAAGATCAGCCTGAGCTGCATAGCAAGACCCTGTCTTAAAACAAAAAGAATGAAAGCTTTATTCTGTCCCATGCTGCCTGCAGGCTAAGAAGGTAGATGTGGCAGTGATGTCACTGGTGTCCTGGGTCAGAGTAATTCTGGTGTGGAATGTGAAACCTGTGTGGAAGTCTGATTAGAATGAATACTAGACAGAATGGGGAAGAAAGAAACGTGGTAGCCTGAGAAGGGGAACAGAGGGTCTTGGTTTATTTAAGAGAAATAGCAGCATGTTTGTGTGCTGACAGGAATACCCAGAGGGACAAATTCAAAACCCCAGAGAGGGCCAGTTGCTAAAGTCTTGAGAACCGATGGGAAACGTGAAGAAGTTGGCCTCACTAAGGAACAAGGATAGTTCACTGTTACAAACTGGGGAGAAGGCAGTGTCCAAGTACCCGCAGACACAGTGATGGGAGACCGTCTCTGTGTTCAATGGCCTAGGGTCATCAGGCGGTGAAGGTACTGCCCAGGAGAGTAGCTAGAGAGGTGACCAGTCCAGGCTAGGCGTTTGTACACGGCTGAGAAGAGGCACAAGGAGTAATTATGGCTAGCCATCAGCATCAACCTAGGAAAGAGGAAGGCTGTGTGTGGTGGTGCACGCGTGTAATCCCTGAACTCCTTGGGAGGCTGAGGCAGGAGGATTGTTTGAGTTTGAGGCCAGCCTGGGCTATCAAGTGAGACCTTGTCTCAAAAAAAAAAAAAAAAAAAAAAAAGGCAGAGAAAATGAGGACAAGAGGGGCAGGGATGCAGTGAGAAGTGGAATGAGCAGACTTCTGTACCTGATAGAGCACTGGGCTGTAATCCTAAAGAAAGCAAGCTAGGGTGGTCAGGAGGCCGTGGCCAAACCATGGGACATGGAGAAACAGTACGTGTGTGTGTGTTAGAGCCTGGGCCCTGGGAACACAGTGGGCATCAAACTGGTTCATGCTTCTGCCGCCTCAGCCGTTCAAGGGCAGAGTACCTGTCTCATCTAGCTGCTCAGGGGGCTGAATGAGTTCATATCCACTTATATTAAGAGGGTTCAGAGAAACAGATGATGCTGCCAACGTTTGCTGTTGAATGCTATCTTGGGGTTGTTATTGGTAATGGGAAGACGCAGGGTATAAACCTGTAAGTGGGGGGCTCGGGTAGGGTGGAGGGCGTGAGAGGTCACCACCATGGGAAGGTCACCTGTGTGAACAGTGTAACTCCCAAGAAACGACAAGTCTGGGACATTAAGAGTCCGTCCAGTGACTCGGAAGATAATAGTATTGTGTATTAGTGGTAAACTAATGATCTCAGATTGGTCGTACTACTGTTAAAATGTTAAAAATACAGACTTTAGCACTATTCCCTTTAAGTTTAGGAAAGGGTTAGGGTTACTTTTTGCTAACTTTAGGACTGGAAATGTAGCTCTGAGGTAGAAGGCTCGTCTAGCGGGTATAAAGTCCTGGGTTTGATCCCCAGCAGTGCCAGAAAAACAAACTTTTACCTGATGGTGATTCGATGGTCTTTTTTTTTTATATATATTTATAGAGTATAATGCGACAACAACAAAAGGTTTTCCAACAATCTAGAATTGTTCAGAACCAGAGACTGAAAACAGTTAGACAGCTATACGAGCAGTACATAAAGGTATGTTCTGGAAGGCAGTGTAACTCATTCTTGTAAAACACAAGGTACTTATGGGAATAATAGATACTTTCTTCCTTCCCATTTATGGAGAAAAAATTTTGTTTATCCATTTTACATTTTTAACTACTTCTAATTCTATAAACAAGAACAGAAGTCACTGTTACTGATGTAAGCAATAAATGTCTTTTAATATTCTAATATTTTGATGGATTATTCAAGATAGGAAATGGCAGATTGATAATTTCTCTAAAAATGTACTTATGCATTGAATCCATGCTGTATTAACACTTAAGTCATCATTCTGCTTAACTTAGAATAGAAATTCTGTAAATCCTTTCCACACTCTTTTATTAGACTTTGTATCTCCAGTGTTAGGTAAGCAGAAACCAATTAGAATTATTAATTCTGTATTTTTAAATTTTTACTTTTTGTTTTGTTTGTCTGAGACAGGTTCAGCTATGTATCCAGGCTGGCTTTGAACTCACTGTGTAGCCCAAGCTGCTCTTGAACTTGAGGCAATTCTCTTGCCTCAGTCTTCCCAGTGCTGAGATTATCGTGTGCACCACCACATTATATTTCATATTTTCAAATGTTTACAAAAATATTTATGGCATATTTAGTTCTAGAATGGCTGCAGTAACCAAAAATGATTTTATAAGCCAATTTATAATCATAAAAGATAGCCCAGAATGTAACAGACACTAACGATTAAAAATTTGTGAGTTGGAAATTAGCTGCTGAATACATGCATTTTACGAAATTATGGTCTAAATAGTAAAACAGTTTTAAAATAATTTTTTTCAAATCCATTTAAAAATACTTAAAAAAATTTAAAATGATTTATATGAACATAAATGTTACTTTTTAAAGGATTTGCAAGTAGAGAATTTGTCAGCTTGTTGAAGGCTTCCTGACTAAAGCTTTCTAAATGTTATCACTAACTGCTACCGTTTAGGGTGGGAACTGGAGTGTGGACTCAGACTTGGTCTCTGTATCTTTCATACTGAGGTATTATGAGAGCCTTAATTTCACCTCTGCAGTGGGTCATGATTTCTTTAATTCCCACTGCTACTACCCTAGTTCAGGATGCCGTGCTTTGCTTGTAGCATTACAGTGCTTGGATTTGCTATGTCTAGTCTGATCTTTATAGGTCTGCCACGTGATCTTTCTGACACACATTTCTTTCCTCCTGAACTTACCAGTAGCTTCTTGTCCTGAATTGCTAGGTATCTGAGAGTGCCTGTGACCTGACTACATTGCCTGTCACCCCCGGCCCTCTCCATAACTGCTTCCTCTCATCTCACTGGCTGCTTCATGCTTTGCTCATGCTTGTCCTTCAGATTATTTTTAATTCCCTTTTATTTATTGCAATGCTATTCTTTTGCCAGCTGAATTGGATTAAACCCCATAATCCCCATTTTCTACCATGTAGCTAGTCTTTTTCTTTTTTACGTTCTTTAACATTCCTTTTGTAAAGTTTTTGTGTTTTGCTTGTTTGCTGGTTTATGTCTATTTTCACTGGAATAAGGAAGCAGTTGTGCACTATTTTTTAATTTCTCCACAGCACTTACTATAATACTTTTATATAGTAAGTACTAGAATAACAATTTGCTGAAGAAGTAAAGATTTGTTTTCTTTTTGTTTCTGTACCAGGGATCAAACTCATGACCTTGCTGTCATACCATGACAATGTCATAAGGCAGGCGCTTATGCCGCTGAACTAAACCCCTGACTAGAAAAGTAAAACTTAAAGCATAAATTTAGCATTTTAGTAAACTTAAAGCATAACTTTAAGAAAGTCATTTCTGCTGCTGAATTCATGTGTCATTGGCTACTAGTAATAATAAGGAGATTATAACCTGATGTTTGGGAAACTCATTAGAAAATTTCAGTTGTGGTACTTACTAATGGACGTTCCATCTACTCTTTGTTTTTTTGCTTAACACTGTTGTACACTCTACGATTATATATGACTCATGTCTCATAAATTTTGCTTCTTTATAGTAGGAATTTTTGTCTTCTGTATTACTCTTTCTTTTTATTTGAAATAAATAATGGGCATTATTTGAATATTTTAAAAGTTCTTTCTTTTGCAAATTATTTTTACGTTTAGAACCTGAGATGGAAAGTTATGGCTTCTAACTGAGCCTCTTGTGTTGCAGAGTTTGGAGGACTTGGAAAAGAATCACGACAGTCTCCTTAGTGGCACACAGAATGAACTTAAGAAAGAAATGGCTATGTTGCAAAAGAAGATTATGATGGAAACTGTAAGTCTGTCTACTTCAGATTTAAATCATTAGGATTAATGTCGGCACTGGAAGATTTTATTTGCTGAAACAGGTATAACAGTTAACTGAGAATTAAACAAATGTTTACTGTCTCCTCTTTCGTGAAACAGCAGCAGCAAGAGATGGCAAGTGTCCGCAAGTCTCTTCAGTCCATGTTACTCTGATGACTCTTGGGAGACAGAACTTGAACCTAAGCAACGCGACACAATTGTATCAGCCAAGAGACTCAGAAGGCTTTCGAGTTGCTTACAAACCCAGTTAAAGTTAATGTCTGTAGTCACAGAAGTTCTAGCTTAAATTATAGCATCTTTCATCATTATCATGTTGAAGACCTCCCTTTCTACTCGCTTCCAAATCAAATCAAAAGTGTTACATGAGGAGCAGCTATTCCTAAACCATATGTGACAAGCTTTCAGCTCTTCAGTTGTAATAGTGAATTTTTCTAGCACTGTCTATTAACTTTTGTCAATAAAGAATATTCAGATTTAGGTTTTGGCTTTAGTGTATCTCTGTCCATCCCTAAACATACAAAGAATAAGTTACATTGTTTTGGGGTTCAGTGGGAGTGGGGATTGGGTTAGGTTGGATTTTGAGACAGGGACTTGCTATGTTGCCAAGACTGATTGCAAACTCCTGGGCTCAAATGCCTTAGCCTCCTGAGCAGCTGGTATCATAGGTATGTGTCACCACACCTAGGTTACAGTATTCTTTTAAAAAAAACTTACATGTATACACCTTTTTCTATATACTTAGTGAGTTACATAGCCAATTCTAATGAAAATAAGATTTCAAAAGAAAATCTGTTCTATTGACATGGAAAATTTATTAAAAGAGCTTAAGTTTGTACCCTAGAATAAATTAACCTGCTAAAACCAATATAACTGAACAAGATATATAAATATTAGTTTAAAGATATGGATTTACAAATATATAATCTCTATAAAAACATCAAAGTACCTGTAATCAGGCTTAGTCTGCAGTTAAGTGACCCACGCCTTTGTAATGACGAGTATGTCGTGACAGCTAAGACAGTGTAAGCATGTCACATCTGTCTTCAAAGACAGATCGAAGTCAACCTCTTTTCTGCCTTCGTAAATAGACACAAGTTTCACTTTCAACTCGTTACATTTCAACAGTTAATTTTACACTGTCTTAAAAAATGTGCACTTAGTACAGAAAAACAAACACTTGATTTAATAAGTGAGATTGTTTCAACATTCGTTTGAAAACATGTCAGGTAAGCTTAATTTATTCAAATTACTTTGAACCATTCAGAATAAAAAGTTCCCATAACAAGGAAACAATTTCCTCCTGTCGTTCCATATTTTAAGTTTTAATATTTGCCTCTAAAAACCACTCATTAAGGTTTTTCAAGTTTGAAAACCAAGTCTATAGAGTGTGTGTGTATGTGTGTGTGTGTGTGTGTGTGTGTGTGTGTGTGTCTTGTGTCTCAGTGGGGGCTGATCCTAAGGGAGCTGAACTACATCTCCATCCACTTATTTTGAGGCAGGGTCTTGCTAAATTGTCCAGGCTGTCCTTGAATTGTGATCCTCCTGCCTCAGCCTTTGTAGCTAAGATTATAAGTGTGTGCCACCATTCCCAGCTCAACTCTCCTTTTTTAAATAATGATAATTTGTTCAGGAGGAAACTAATCTCTGCAAATATTTGACATTAAGAGGACCATTTGGGCTGGGCATGGTGGCACACACCTATAATTACAGCTGCTCTCGACGTTGAGGCAGAAGGATCTCAAGTTTGGGCCCAGCCCAGGCATTTTAGCAATACCCTACCTCAGAATTAAAAACTAGAGAGGGCCAGGTATTTAGCTCACTCCCAGTACCCATGACTATAAAAGTCTAACGCCTTTATTTCTTAGTTTTCCTTTCCTGGTGATGCCGGGCTGCCTCCCTAAGCTGAGCTGCTCTGCTGCTGCATGTGCTGCGGCCCCAGGCCCGGAACAGAAACCTTCCTCCTGGCTGAGGAGTCCACAGACTCAGAGGAAATGCACATCCCTCGCCTCTTCTCGGTAAGTCCCTGTGGTATGTTTTTGCCTTTTGAGGAATGCCCCCTGCACAGGTTTCTTCTGGTTTGCCTTTCTCTTGCTTATCATGCACAGCCACCCTTCATCCCACCTCTATTCCCTGACTAGTCCACCTTCTGCCTGTGGGGCTGCCATGTCGAGTAGAAGCTGGTTCTCACAGGGTCTCAAGCTCTGGCTTCCTGAGCACTCTGTGCGAACAGTGTGTATGAGGTGCAACTCATTTGCTCCCGCAGGGCTGGGACAGGAATGACTAAGGGCCTGCAGCTGGCACTTGTCACCTGCTGCCTGGAGTGGGCAGCATTTTTGCCATGTTTTTACTGTCCTGCAAGCCAACTGCTTTAGCCACTACCCGGCTCTTCATTAAGGGGAAGACCTGATGACCCCTTGTTGTGGCAGTGAAATTGTAACTATCAAGGAACAGGTTATTCTCCATATAGTCTTGATCGTTGCTGAACTGGCATAAGAAAGTCCCCCTACTAGAGACAATTATAAAGATTCCTGTCCTTAAATTCCGGTTTGTACTTCCTTTCCCACCACGCTAATTAGCACAGAGGCGGGTCTCCTGTCTCTGGCTCTTTGAAAGATCACTGTAATTTGAGGGTCACCCTGCAGACGGCCACAGTCATTTAAACTCTGAGCTTTTATGTTCCTGGTGGGGTCTGACCAGTGTTTTGCAGACACAGAGAGACATACTCAGAACCACAGGCTTCAGTGCTTCTCTGTTTGCAGAGCTAAAACGTGTGCTCCTGTTTCTCCTGCGCTCACAGACTGAATTGTGCTAACACTGGTGCCTGGAATGTGGGAGGCCCATGAGGCTTCGCTACCCCCAGACGCAAGGGCACCTACAGGACTTGTCCTAGCCAACCACTTCTGACCTGTGGCATCCCACTGCCTAGCCTCCCCTAACCATCCTCGAGCCTCGGGCTACTAGTCAATGTGCTTGTGAACCTGTTCGGGCGCCTGGGGACAGGAAATCTTGAAGATGCTCAGGTGCAGGTGTCTTGAGATCTGGAAGCACAGAGCACTGAAGTACAGCAGCATGTCAAGCGCAGCGATGACCTTTGGGGGGTGAAATGGGAGATGCTGGTGTCATAGTCTGGCTTCCCGGAGCTGCCAGCTTTTCTCTGTGACCTGCCCCACCTCAGAAGCTCCAAGCCTAAACTCCCTAGTGGGAAGCATTGTACTTCCCGGTGCTTTCATGTGCTGGCACAGACCTCACCACGGTGGGGCCTTTTCTCTCTGAGGAAGGTTTTTCCAGAAGGAAAGAGAAGAACTCAGGCCACCAGTCTCAATCGTGAGTGTAGACAGGCGCTGAAGCTCTCAACACCTAAAATTTTAATCATCTCAATTCCGACCGGTAACACACAGGCTGGGGACTTGCTTTGTAGCCCATGCTGGCCTCAAACTTATGAGAAATCCTCCTGCCTCAGCCTCCTGAGTGCTGGGATGACAGGCAAGCGCCACCACCTCTGGCTAATGCAGCATTATCTAATTTTGTGACTTAAGTATTAACTAGTCCTTCTTAGAGGACGAGGGTCTCCTAAGCATCATAATCTGTATTTCATAATCATTTTGAACAATGTTCGTATTATCCACACCCTTGCTTGAGCAGGATATAGTCAGTGAAAATTTAACTGTGACAGGCATCATTACTGGAACAAACTATGACACCATCAATGGCAGCACACATGCATAAGACTGCTTACAGCCAGCTCCAGTGATCTCAGAGCCCGGTTCCGGTCTCTCAGTGTTAGCTGAAGGCTCTTCACCAGGTAAATGCACACCACTGCTAGCACTAACCCCCTTTGTCAATGTGTTACCTGCGATCACCTGGGAATCATTTTATTCTTTAAAAAGTTTTTTGGTTGTTTGAGATAGAGTCTCCCACTATAGCCCTGGCTGGTCTTGAACTCACTAGGTAGTGTAGGCTGGCCTAAAACCCCACAAGAAATCCTCCTGCCTCAGTCTCTCTGAGTGCTGAGATTACAGGTTTGTGCCACCACGCCCAGCTGGGAATGATTTTACTAAGCCTGATTAAGAGCAGTCAGACTCTTCTAGATAGTACTTTTCAAGTCCAAGCTGTCTTCTCGAGGGTCTGGGCCATGGGGAGCCTCATCGTCAGCTATGCTGACTACTTTTATACAATACAAAATGACTCATGGCTTTAAAGAAGTGCCTTTAAATATTCAGAAACATTTGCTGGAAAGACTAAATATTGAGGCAACTGACACCTGACTGAAATGGCTATAAACACAGTATGATCCCATAAACTTGTTTAAAAGAAGAACCAGAAAAGTACTTACCATTGCTATCCAGAGAACAACATACTCATCCATAAAACTGTTGAAGTACTGGTCTAGAAACAAGAGCCCTGGCCCGAGGAAGACCGTGTCCTGCAGATGCAGTTCACTTTTGGTCATGTGAGCTATCTGGAAAGGAGACACAAGACAGCATCACTATGAAGTTTTCAGAACTGTATTTTCAGCAGAGCATGACGACCTTAATTTGCTATGAAGACAAAGAGACCACTGAACCTCACATTTCATCTAGGAACACTTATTCATGTCTTTCAAATTGATGAAAATCTGAAGTGTTTAAACCCCTTCACAAACAAGAACATGCAATAGGAAATCGGAGCCCAGCGAACAACTGAAGGGCTGAATGGACACTCATGCCACCCGGCTTGGGGCCGAGGACCAGGTGCCCCGTTTGTGCCACGAATCCTACGGGCACTCCTTACCACCAGCTTCTGTACGACTTTAGCGAAGACACAGCCGAACATGAGGGTATAAAGGCACGGGTGCTTTTCAAACAGGTTCGTGGCCGACTTTTTATAGATCATCACTGCCAGGACAATGATCAAGCCGATGTGGAGTCCGGGCGACAGCACGCTTGTGCCCTAGGAGGAAGTGGAAATCGTACTTTTGCCACATGATTGCAATAGGCCAACAGCTTCCGGACCTCTGTTTCATCAGGGGGCTGTGGCCTCATGGTACAGAAACCTTACTTGGCTTCTTAAATTCCACAGAACCTCGGACAACGCAGGTGGGACACGGCAGGTGTCTGGTTCCCATGCGTAAGGTACACGCATTTTACACTGGTACGCTACAAGTTAATTGTGATTTATTGTCTACTCGTCGACACTGGGGCTGTCGATTATTTTTTAAGACAGGGTATCACAATCTACTCCAGGCTAGCCTTGAACTCACTGTGTAGCCCAGGCTGGCCTTGAAATTGCTTTGATCCTCCTGCCTTAGCCTCCTGAGTGTTGGGGATGAGGAGCATGTGCCACCATGCCTGGAGACACTATAATAGTTATTTTAAGTATATTCTGGAGAAATTTCAGCATAACTTACTTTCTGAGTAATAAACTGCCTTCATGGGAAACTTCTGAACTCCCGCAGCTCTCCCATCATTCAATCAGGGCCTTATTCCTACTCTCCCCATCTCTCCTATTAACTCAAAGCACAAGATGTACACAAGATAACAAGTGACTCCTGACACTGAATGGTAATGAAACAATGAGTGATTAAATAAAATTGCACGCCACTAGCCTGTACAAATATAAAAAGTAAAAAAATATAAAATGCTAGCTCACAGTTCTGTGGAAGGGATAGGACCTGAGCAGGAGAGATCAGCGAGGCTGATACTGTGGGTGCCTGCAGAGAGGGCCAAGAGGAGAACCAGAATTCCCGAGATCCGCCCACGGTGGGACTCAGGCAGCTTATTCACCCGCCCTGTTGGTAAACGCCTACAATGTGGGCCTGGAGGAGAACCATTACCTGTGAGCCTACTGTCACTCGAGCTGAAAATCAAGCACCCTCCCACCCCGCCCCCCATAGCTACTGGAGATAGATGTCTCAGCATCTCTTGGGAGGATGACCGTATGCAGTATAGCAAATATGGGGGATTTCCTTCTATCTTGTTTGAAGGCAAGGTTGTTTTCACTGTTTTGTTACGTTTCTTTTTGCTCTATTCAGTATTCTCAATTGGTGTTATAATGTTCTATTTTTGGTTTGAATTTGCTATACCTAATTGACTGGACAACTATTGTAAAGTTAAAGAGATATACCATAGTACCTATTACTACTATCCCAGTTCCTACTGTGAAATCCTATACCAATTTCACTGCATTGTCTCGATTGGCTTTGTTCTGTCTTGTGCTGTTGCATTTTTACTACTTTCAAAATAAAATTAAAAAAAAATTTAAAAAATGCTTTTGTACTGTGTGTCTAAAATGAATGCTATAGGATATTCAGAGCAGGTGTGGTGGCACAGGCCTAGAAACCCAGCACTCAGGAGGCTGAGGCAGGAGATGCTGTCTCAAAAAATCAAAACAAATGAAAAAAAAACCACTGCCACCAGCCAGCAGCACCACCAGTTGAGCTCTCATCCCTGTGCACCAGCTTTGCCTGTTTCCAGTTCTCCCCACAGGCGGAGGATTCACCCCAAGCAAATGTGGGAAGTGCTTACTGCTATGGTAGATCCATTCTTGCCAACACCGCCGTGCAGGATGACGTGGAAATAATTTGAGCACGAAAATATGGCTCCGCCTACCACTCCGAGGACTGGAAAGATCTTGAGTCTGATGTCCAGAGGGGGTATCTTCAGGGGCAGAGGAAAGAAATCATGGAGAACGCAGTTTCCCTTCCTGCTCCACTGCAGAGAAGCACATGGCACAGCCCTGTGTGCCCAGCTGCCCTTTTCCTTCTAATCAAATTTAGAAGTGCTTGACTCATGTTTTGAGGTGGCTTCACAGAGTACAACAAGCCAGGTCAGCTTGGCTACTTCTGTGACTGTGACTCAGTACGTAATCTCACAAACCACTGCCCAACACAAACACACAAAAGCACAGCATTTGGCAGGACAGACAGGGACCAGGATGTGTGGTGACCACACCTGCAGGGTGATAAAGGCTCATGCAGGACCGAAGGTGGCTGGGGCTCAGCCCTGCCGGGTATTTACCTGCGCTCAGCTGCACTCCAGATGCATCCAAGGCAGCAGAGGATTAAAGAACACAGCAGTGAATTAACAGACCTCGAAAGCCTGCACCAGATTGTGTAAAATGTGGGCCACCCACATGGACAGGGCTCTTTCTCATCTGTGAGGATGAGCAGAGGCCTCGGCTCCCTGTTGCCCCGCCAGGAATGGGGCAGCTAAGACGACCACGTGTGACGCCCACGAGACATGCGTGACTGCCCCACACAGACAGATCTGACAGCTGGATCGGTCTTTTCCTAATAAAACCAATTTATCTATAAATGGACTGAATCAAGTTAGTTGGCTGAATCTGAATAATTACTGCCCAACATAAGTATTAATACGATTCATACCAATTTAAAAAATATTACAATAACCAACAAATGTATCTCATTAAATTAAAAGAAATGTCTTTGCATTTGCAAATAGTTTATCAATAATTTGTTCATTCGATTTTAACTCAGGTGGGCTGGGGATTTAGTTCAGTGATACAAGCGCCTGCCTGGCAAGCTCAAGGTTGTGAGTTCGATCCCCAGTCCCCCCCCCCTCCAAAAAAGAGATTTTAACCTGGAAATCATTTAAGTGCCCCATTGCTGGTGTAGATAATGCGTGTTAGCTGTATTTTTTTTTTTTTTTTTTTTTGTCTTTTTGAAACAGGGTCTCACTATGCAGTTCAGGCTGGCCTTGAACTCACTTTGTAATCCAGGCTGGTCTCAAACTCACAGCAATCTTCCTGCTTCAGCCTCCCAAGCACCAGAATTACAGGCGTGCACCACCACACTCAGCAAGCACATTAACTGTATTACAGTTTTTTGTACCATCTTCACGTTCTTAAGGAACTGCGTCGCACACATTCACATACGGTCAGCTAAATCCACACCTTTCTTTGCAGTACTGTAAAGGGAGACCTGGAGAATCGGCATGCACCCTGAGGGGACAGGCACGTAGACACTAGGATTTCTCTAACTGAGGCAGCCCTGGGATGCAAACCTGAGCCACGGCAGCAAGACGCTGCCCCTGTGTGCAGGCCCAGGGCACCTGGGCAGCAGAGCTGGACTCCACTGTCTGTGCCCCCTTAGAATGGGGCTGCTGAGGGAGCTCGAGTCATTGGGCGTCTGCTGCTCTGATGCTATGTGCATGGGGTGGGGGGGCACTGGTATGTTCCAAGCTGGTGCAGTTCCTGCCCACTTCTGTTGCCAGCCCACATGGCCTGTCCACACCCCATGCAGATATCTGTCACAATTGACAGCCTGAGGCTGCCACTTCGCTGCCACCCAAACTTCAGAGCTGACCCTCAGGTCCAACAGTGGTGCGCTACCCTCCCTGTGGTAATACATTGATGACGCCCACCCACTGTAGGGCCACCTGGAGCCACATAGCACGAGCCTCTGGTGACCAGCTCCTGCTCTTGCCATTAGCCTCAGAGGTCCCCTGGGTCCCCGCAATGTGAAAGAAGCTGCTGTGGACGCCGCCTGTGGGCTGCAGATCTCAGGGAGCCCAAGCAGCCTGGCTCTGCACCCTGCTCGGGAGGCAGCCCTAGAAGTGCCCGGCTCAGGGCTCCCAACACCGGGTCTGCAGTCAGCCTGCTGTACTGTTAGCTCTGGTGTCTGACGCATGGCCCCGAGACTTCTTTATAAAACACAGTCCTGGGGATACGGATGCCGTGGGGCGGGCTGAGGACCTGGCCCCATTGCCTTCCAGAATTTTCAACAACATACTTATCTCACGAGGTTCCCTGCAGTCTGGAGGTCCCCTCTGTGTCTCCCCGCTCTCTGGGAACAGGAGGGGGCCATGCCACCTTGGGGCGCCTGTGAGGGGCATTCGAGTGGTGAAGCAAAGGGAGAGGGCCAGGAGGTGGTGTGAGCCTGAGACACAGTGCTGGGAATTTCTGAATAAAACAACCTCACAGACTTCCGTAAGCATTTATAAAGTCACTGAAACATAACACTGAAATCCTCGGATTTACCGTGTAGTCCCACATGGCTGTTCCTCCGAAGGTTGACAGGATGAAGACAATCACTAAGGCCACCTGGATCTCAGTCACATCCACTCTACAAAGGGGACAGGGGACAGGCAAGACGCTGGTGAATAAACTCCCAAGATGTCAAAGATGTGAAAACCTCTGTAGGCTCAGTTTACTTTTACCTTTTTTCCCACATTAGTAGTTTTTCTTTGGTGGGCTTTTTTTGGGGGACTGGGCCTTACTACATAGCCCAGGCTGGCCTCAAACTCAACAGCGATCCTCCTGCCTCAGCCTCCCTAGTGCTGTGATGATGGGTGTGTGCCACCACACCTGGTTCCCACACTGAATTATCAAAGGACTGTAGTAGGAAAAAACTACACAAAGACACTCCCACATGGTAAATATGAATACAGAGAGGAAAAAGCTTGTATAGCACGCACCACTGATGGCTGAAGCTTTCACTTTCTACCTTAAATATTTCTTCAGTTTCAATTTTTGCAACAATTACGTATTATAAATTGGGAAAAATATTAATATTTGTAACATACAAACAATTGTGATTGAAGGTAGATGATTTTTTTTTTTGAGACTGGGTCTCATCATGTAGTAGTATGGGCTGGCTCTAAACTCACTGTGTAGCCCAGGCTGGCCTCAAACTCCAGGTAACCCTCCTGCCTCAGCCTCCCGAGTGCTGGGGTTACAGGCATCTGTTACCACACCTGGCTGGTTCAGGGCAAACTCTTATACAGTCCTAAACCTAATTCACTTATAAATAGGGAAAGTACAACAGTTTCTCTAGTAGTCTTTTCTAACAAACTTTTGTAGGACGCCTCTGTTAGTAGTATAGTTGATAGGCAGTAAAATGGGGTCACTTACAGTCACTATAACGTTTTTGGCTCCACAGTTATTTTTACCCTAATATATAAACATTTTTATGTTTACATTTTTCTCAAAACCAAACCAAACTAAACAAAATACCAGTCAAACTACGTGAGAGGCTCTAGTCTTCATCTCGGTCTGTCCTGAAAGTCCTCCTGGATGGGCTGCACCGTGGGTCTCGCCATGGGCTGCACTTGGCCTCCACTCTTGCTAAGATTGTTTACACAGTGACTGTGAATGTGTTAGGTCCAGGGTGCCAGGTAATTCGCGTGCATGACTCTGCTGTGACACTCTGATCCGGTCCACTATCTCTCTCAACGGACTACCCTCCTCTAGCCCTCCTGCCGACCCCTTCCCAGCTCCTCCCTGTTCGGCTTCCTCTTCCGAAGCCTAAGTGCTGTCTCGGGGCGGCCGCCTGCCGTTTTCTGCTCTTGGAAGATTTTTGTCTTATTAAGACCACGGCCATCCCCACGCCAGTGACCCTACCTCCACAGCTCTGCGTTGTGTCTTTCTCCTGAGCTCTGCTTTCTTTTGTTGCTGGTTTTGCTTTGGGATCTGAGACAGGGGCTGGCTGTATAGCTCAGGCTCCCTGTGAAGCCATTACACAGCCTGGGCTGGTCTCCAGCTCACTTCTACCCTCCTGCCTCAGCCCCCAGAGCACTGGGATGACAGGTGTGCACCCCCGAGCCCAGCTTCCCGGGGGCAAGGGAAAAGGCCCACCCACCACGCAGCTCTACCAGCACACTGACACGACTTCCCCAATGTCTACCTCGGCTAAGAGCCCGCTAACCTGCTGCTGGCGACTAACAAGGGGTCCTTTCTCAACACCTGATGATCCAACCCAAGGACTTCAGACTCCACCACACACTGTTTTGTTATGTCCGCTGAGTGCCACTTAATTAGCTTTCACTTTATTATTATTATTATTATTCTTTTTAGACAGGGTCTTGCAATATAGTTCAGGCTGACTTTGAAATCGCTACATGGCCCAGCTGGCCTGGAACTGGGGCGATCCTCCCGCCTCAGCCTCCCGAGTGCTGGGAGACTGGTGTGTACCAGCACGCCTGGGGCTCAACTCAGTTGTGCATATTATTTGGGTCCCTTATTTGTCTGTTTTTCTTGTTCACTGTAACTCGGGCTAGTGAACAAGCTGGAGGTGGAGAGAAGTGAATCACTGTCAAGCACTGGAGCAGCTGAAAGGCTGGAGGCACAGCACTGGCGAGGACGGAGGACAGAGGACACTTCCTCCCTCTGGTGGACACAGGCATGGTTTGGGGCAGCTGGGCTGGGGTTCTGGAGGATACTCAGGAGCCCACTTACTTTCCAAAGCGCAACATGCCCGACACATAGGTCTGCCAGTGCGCACAGTAGAACAGGAACATTCCGACGAAGGAGCAGAAAAACAGCCAGTCGGGGTGCGTCCCTAAGCGCACGGCGATGGAGGCGCCCACAGCCATCAGCACTGAAGGGGGACAAGGACATCGCATGACATCACTATCTCTGGGGACAGAACTCATGAAATCACTTCTTTAAAAAATGGATTCTTGGGGCCGGGGATTTAGCTCAGCAGCATAAGCACCTGCCCGGCAAGTGCGAGGTCGTGAGTTCAATCCCTGGTACCACAAAAAAGAAAAAAAAATGGATTCTTGGCAGGTGCAGCGGCTCACGCCTGTCACCCCAGCACTCAGCAGGCTGAGGCAGGAGGACTGCAGTGAGTTTGAGGCCAGCCTGGGCTACACAGTGAGTTCAAGGTCACCCTGAGCTACATGGTGAAACCTGGTCTCAAAAATCAAAACCAGAAAACCTCAAATGAATTCTGAAACTTACTTTTTAAACCCGCATTGGCTCCCAAATGTCCCCTTCTGCACACACTGACCACTCGGGGTGTTGGGTAGGGGCGGGGTCGCAGCTGCTCTGCCTACCTGATGATAGAGAGTCACAGCCGTGGTCAAACAGCTCCCCCAGCGGCGAGCAGGAGCTGGTCCTCCGGGCCTGCTTCCCGTCCACGGCGTCCAGGGACTGGTAGACGAAGAGACCCACTGCGCACAGGAAGTAAGCCCAGGCCGGCGCCTAGGGACCAAAGAGGCTGCTGCTGAAGGAACCCTGCTCTGTTTTCTTGTCTTTTGATGCCACTGGCGAGGGAGCCCAGGGAGGTCATGCTGAGCTACACCCCCAATCCTTTTTTTAAAAAATGGTTTCATGTTTTCTTTTGAGACAGGGTCTCAGGCTGGCGTCACATTTGCGATCTTCTTGCCTCAGCCTTCTGAGTGGCTGGAATCCCAGGTAAGGGCTACTGTGACTGCCACATTACCCTCCTCCTACAGACGTGAATCCAATGGAGAAACGGGATTAGGCCAAAGCAGGGGTGGCGAACCCAGGCGCTGATGCCACAGTGGGCTGTCTGTATCACTGAAAGCTCTACAAGGTTCGCCATCACTGGTCTAGAGCCAGCAGAGTGCAGGGTGACGGTCACTCTGGTCGTGAGGGACACAGTTAAATGGCCGAGCAGGGTTGGGTTCCCAGCCCACAGGTTCTCTGCTGCAGAACCAGCTGAGCCTGCCACCACCGTGTGCTAACTCAGGAAGTCTTTGCTGTGAAAAAACCCTCAGGCTGGGCGTGGGGGGGCACACCTGTGATCCCTGCACCCTCAGAGGCTGAGGCAGGGGTGTGGCAAGTTTGAGCCCAGCCTGGACAACCTAGTGACTCGGTAAGACCCTGTCTCAAAGTAAAAAAAAATTTTAAATGGGGCTGGGGATGCAGCTCAGTGTGAGGGCTTAAACTCCAGTACCAATAAAGACAGAGAAGGACAGAAACAGAGACAGAGACAGAGACAGAGACAGAGACAAAGACAGGAAGGCAGAAGAGACAGGATGAGAACACAGGAGAGAGAAGAGAAATGGATTCCGAGCCTGGGTCCCCGCCTCCCTACACTGCCAACAGGGACAGGGCAGTGTCATAGCAGCTCTGTGTGGGCGGAGAGGCCTTGGGACTGTGATCCTACAGCGCCCAGGGGCCCCGCAAGGAGCCCAAGCCCCAGAGACTCATTGGGGTTAGGGAGTGGCTCACTGCTGAGGCCGAGCCAAAGCCCGGGTCCAGGTGGGCAACAAGCCCGGAGAGATCGTTGCCTGCGGGCTCCGGACGCCACTGTCCACAGCAATGCTCAGAAAAGACTCAGGGTGACGGGCCCAGCAGGGGACGGGCGACACAGCGCTGTCACGGGTCAGTGACTGAGTCTCAGGAAGACCAGAGAAACCAGGCCAGGGCAGATGTAGGAAGAAAGGAGGGCCAGAAACTTCCGAGGTTTGCAGAATCGAAAAATCTATGTACTAGAGCAGCACAGTACACCCCAAGTAGAATAAACATATTTTTTAAAAAAACCCAAGTTGTGCAAGGTTGAGGTAGCGTCAACCTGTCATCCCAGCAATTGGGAGGCTGAGGCAGGAAGATTGCCGTGAGTAGTTCAAGGCCAGACCGAACTGCATGATGAAACCCTGTCTTAAAAAGACAAAAACACATAAACAAACACCCAAGTCATAAAGCCGCTGTGGAAGAGCTGCGGTGGGTGGAAAGCCGTATTAGGAGATAGCAGGATACAGCCCTGTGAGAGACATGCAAAGACAAATGACAGAGGAGAATGGGCACACTCCAGGGACAGCGGTGGAGGCTCTCGAGTTCAAGCCCAGGACAAGACTTCATGAGGGTATTCCTTCCACGTCAGCTCTTTTTCACCTTGGCCGCTCTTTGTCCCCCCATTTTGTATCAGCATTTCATAATGTATTCCATGTCCCCAGGGGCCTGCACAGCCCATACCTGTCCCTCAGATAGGAGGACAGCAAAACTGTCGAGAATGACAACCTTGGGACGGGCACGGAGGTGTGCGCTTGGAACACCAGCTCATGGGAGGCTGAGGCAGGAGGATCGCAGTGAGTTTAGGCCATCCTGGGCCACACAGTGAGTTCAAGGCCAGCCTGAAGTACACAAAGAGACCTTGTCTCAAAACACAGACACACGTGCACACCCACACAAGTACACACACAGACACAACTGCTACCCATGCCAGCAGAGTTACATGGAGGACCTCCCTTTTCTCCCTCAGGTAGCAAGGTTCAGGGAAAACCCAGCCCTGAGGCTTCCTGTAGTATGGTCAGGAGAATGGATGCTGGGCTCCGTCTGCCCGCAGTGTTCACTGTCATGTACACAGCTGGCTGAGCTGGGAGAATCAGCTGCTCGGTGCCTCAGTCTCCCCATGTGAAAAAGGGGACTGTCTCGGGTCACAGGAACCCCTCTCTGAGGATTGCTGGGCTGGGAAAGGCCCTGACCTCCAGCCGCTGCTCTGGTGCTCTGATGCTGTCAGGTAGCTCGAGGTGGCTCCCGGGCACACTTTGCATCATTTATGTCTTTCAGGTATTTTGGAGCAATTTCTTGTGTTTTGAAAAACTGGCTTATTGTATCGAGGACTTTATGACTACTGAGGCTCAGAATGAATGTTTTATTTATTTTAGGGAGGAGGTTCTTTTTTTTTTTTTTCCAAATCCATTTTATTTCAAAGAGAAAAAAAAGAAGAAGAAAAACTAAAACAAAATTTCAAAACACATCAATCAGGGGGCAACAATGGTACCCACATTGTCATCCCCAAATCATTCACCTCCAGCGGAATCCAAATTTTAAAAAGCAGTTGGTTTAGAGCTGGGTGTGGTGGCTCACGCCTGTAGTCCCAGCACTCGGGAGGCTGAGGCAGGAGGATTGTTTGGAGTTCAAGACCAGCGTAGGCTACAAAGGGAGCTCAAGGCCAGCCTGACCCTGCCTCAAAAAGACAAAAAAACAGAAACAAAAACAAAAACCAGCTACTGGTTTAAAGTTAAAGCGGAGAAAAATAGTAAATAAAATCTCTTATAGGTAATACACAAAAGCAAAACTCTTCCCATGGATTTTTATATTTTAAAGTGTCTGCCTTTGATCAGCTTTCTCTGAGCTGATACATAGGTGACCGGCACTGTAGGTCAGTGGGGAAGGCTTCACGTTACCTCAGCGCCAGGTGACTTCTCTATGGAAACAGAAACTGCATTTCCAAGAGGTAAGAAACAAATCAGACCATGGCAGCCTGTGGGCGGACAGGTCAGGCCCGTAGGTTGTTAAACGCGAACTTTGTCCCTGATCAGTTGATGCTTTTGGATTTGATTTCCCTTGTTTGTCAGGTTCTCACTATGTAGTCCAGCCTGGCCCTGAACTCCCAGGGATCCTGCCTCGGCCTCCTTCGTGCAGGCTAGACACATTCAGAAAGTCTACACTGACATGGAGTCAGACGCACAGCTGAGGGGTAAAGAGCCAAAAGACCCAGTCCGATAAGCAGCAGAGACGGGGTGAGGTTGACAGCTGTCAGAGCACTAGGGGCTCCCAGAAACTGTGCCCCACTCCCCTTGCTAACTTCCGGCTGAGGAAAAGCTCCACCTGGACTCCACTGCTAAACCTCTTCAGACAGTGGTGCCTGCAGCCTGGCTGCCAGCCCACCTAGGTCACAGCGCCAGGGGCCTTCCCTTCTGGCCGAGACCCTGCAGTTCATCTGGACCCCCAGCCAGGCCCTCACACCCACCCTGGAGACCAGGGCTCCACACCGCTTCAGGAGCCAGATGAATCCCGAGTTGTCACATGCAGAAGTGGAGGGAGCCCTTCAGCTCCTGGACACCATGGAAGGGCTGTGTAGGCCGCAAGCAGAACGGCTGCCTCCAGGGGACCAGGACCCAGGGGCTCTCCTCAGAGAAAGGTTTATTTTGGCTCATGGTGTCAGAGGTTCACTCCTTTCTGTTTATTTTTTAAACAGGGTCTCTCTCTGCAGTTCAGATTGGCCTTGGACTCACTTTGTAGCCCAGGCTGGTCTTGAACTTGCAGTGATCCTCCTGCCTCAGCCTCCTGAGTACTGGGATGACAGGAGTGCACCATCATGCCCAGCTCAAACCCTTGTTCTTAAGTCTGGGAATGAGAAACAGGTTTCAAGCCAAGCTGAAGCCCCTTAAACTCCCTGGGCTTTCTCTTCTGAATACGGCAACGTTGGGGTGGGAGCCAGAAGAAATCCTGAGGCGGTGAGATCTGGGCTGAGGGAGCAGTCACCTCCCTCTCTGGGCTGACACAGGATGAAAAGGCAGACATGCATTTTCAGGATACTTGTTACTATCCTGTAGCCCAGGGTGTCCTGAAATTCTCCAAGATCCTCCTGCCTCAGCCTCCTCAGACCTGGGATTACAGGGCTGCACCACCATGCCCGACATTTCTAAATGAGTAGGGAGCAAAGCAGCAGGACACTAAATTTTCGCGCTGTGCAGCTCCCCAACTGGAACTCTTCCCCCTCCCGCTAAACTTGGCGGCTGCAGAGCGCTACCCAAGTGCCAGCCCTCAGGACGGCGGGCGGGATGTCACAGAGTGTGGGTGTGCCCGTGTCACGGCCACGCGGAGGCTGGAAGCGACCCTCGCTCTGCCCTCAGCTCTACCCTGGACGTGGTCCGCCGCGGTCACTGCCAAGCGACCCGCCGGCCTTGCGGAGCCCGGGTGCGTCCGGCGGGTGGGGGCCGCCACCCGGGCTTGTTTCTAAGCCGAGTCAGCCAAGCGCGAGGAAGGAGGATGCGACCGGCCCCGCCCCGCCCCGAGACCGGCCGGGCCGGGGACAGCGGTTGGGCCGCCTACCTCCTCAGTGGCCGTGGGGCAGAGGGCGACGAGCACCAGAGTGGTGGCCAGGTTGAGGGCCAGGCCGAGCAGCGTGATGGTGTTGGGGGCCACCCAGAGCGGCACCCAGCGCAGCAGCCAGGTCCAGTAGCGCTGCAGCGGCGGCTCGAGCAGCGACACGCCCGCCGCGCTGTAGCGGTGCTCGTCCAGCCGCCGCAGCTGCGCCGCGCTCAGCGGCTCGACCAGGGCCCGGGCCCAGCCGGGCGCCGCCCGGGGCCCCGCGCCCGCCGCCGCCATGCCGCCGGGGCCGCGGAGGACGCGCGCGAGGGCGGCCCGCCCCGCCTGGCCCCGCCCACTCGCTCAGGCCCGCCCCTCCCACCCACGGCCCCGCCCCCGCAGTCTCTCAGGCCCCGCCCCTACGGTCCAGTCCACGCCCCCTCCGCCTTAAGGGCGGGGCCTGGCTTTCAAGACAGGGCCGGAGCGGTAGCGGGCGTGTCGGGGGCGTGGCCTCTAGGACTCCGTGGTGGGTGTGGCCGCGCTGCCTAGGCACGCATACGCCCACAGCCCGCCCACGTCGTGCCGCAGCTGGATCTTAGGCCCTAGCGCCGCCCTCTGCTCCCAGGCTCTCCCGCAGCTCTGCCTCGGGTCTGCGTCCTCGGCCCCACACCTCCCGACGCCGGCCCAGTTACTGCCTGTTCCTGCCCTGCAGGGTGCGCGCCCCTCGGTTCTCTGAAACCCGCGCCCGGCCCCCACCCCGTCAACCCCAGCCCCGCGCGGTGGCCCTTGGTGGTGTTTTGCAAACAGCAGGGCGCTTCACTGTCCGGCCCGGGGAGGTGGCTCTCACCGCAGCCAGGGAGCCCCTGGGGCTTTTTGGTTTGCTTTTGCTTTTGCAGCACTGGGACTTGAACCCATGGATCGCGCACCAGCCCTTATTTTTGAGACAGTATCTTGCCAAGTTGCCCGGACCGTTCTGGAACTTGCATTCCTTCTGCCTCAGCCTCCCGAATAGCTGGGATTATAAATGTGCTTCGCCATGATGGTCGCGCCGGTTTTACTTTTTGGTGATTTCCCTGCCTCAGCGTCTTGAGTGCTGAATTACAGACTGGTGCCACCACGCTCAGCTGATGAGGTTCTGAAACCCGAAATCAGGGCTTGGAAACACTGTACAACAAGAGGACAGCGCTTGTAGTCCAAATTTATTTCAGAGTATTTGACACCAACAATAGAGGCTATTTTTAGACACACCCTGGCCTGAGTAGAGGGTGGAGTCAAGCTTTCCCCTCCAAAGGCCACCGGCTCCCTACCAGGACAGGGGACAGAGGACGTCATGTCCTAGGCAGAGGCCCTCTCACAGCCTGCCTAGGCCCTGCACCTGCCTGGAGCCTCGGGGGATTCAGGGCACGCAGCTGCCGCTGCCAAACACAGCTCACGACCTCAGCCTGGTTCTTATATTTTCTTCTTTCCCGCACTGGGGTTGGAACCCAGGGTCTTTTCGCTGAGCTGCAACCCTAACCCACATTTTTTCTTTCTTATTTTAAGACTGGGTCTCACTAAGTTTCTCAGGCTGGACTCAAACTTGTGACCCTCTTGCTTCAGTCTCCTAGATGTGTTGACAAGATGTGCGCCACCAAGCCTGGCTGGCTTGATGATTGGGAAAAATTTTTTTTTGAAAAAGACCATAATATAAATGATGTGAGTTGAAAATTTAAAAAATATTCAAACTTCATTTTTGCTCGAGTATGTTTGTCCCTGACCTCCAATGGCTTTTTCATCAAAGAGCAGCAGTCAGTGATTGCAGGAGAAACTGTGTGGCCAGCAGTGCCCAAAGCATTTACTACCAGACAGTTAGGCAGCGCCTGCCCTCCTGTTAATGGGAAGAATGCAGAACAGACAGATAAACCAGGTTTTCATATATTTACATGCAAGTTGACTGTGGATTTATCACCGCTGTGAATGAAACTCACAAGCACACATTAGCGGATGGGATCGCTCGGGCTCTTACACCCAGGAGCTGGGGATCTGGCTTAGACAGGGGGAGTTGGGTAGGGGTTAGGTGGCCTTGTCCCCAGCAGACTGCTCAGTTTCTGTACACCGGATAGTTTTGTGCTGTCACAACCCATCCTAAATATCACAGGGAATGTGTGAGTGCTTGGAGCGGGAAGGGAAAGTCTAGCACTGAGTAGCAAGCGGGGAAGGGTGTTACACAGCGGTGTGTCACACATGCTGTGAAGAACTAGCCGAGAGGGTCCCCAGGCGCTGGAGAGACAGTGGATGTGTGAGGAGACAGAGATGTCACCACTCAGGTCTTCTGTTGTACGATTCGGTCATTGATCATTATGTACCTGTACAGAACTGTCACACAGTACCCCATAAATATGTAAAGTTATTATGTATCCATTCAAATCATTTTACTAATTTTCTTGTCTTTTTGAGACAGGGCCTCCTGTGCAGTTCAGGCTGTCCTTGGGCTCACTCTGTAGCCCAGGCTGGGCTTGAACTTGCAATATTCCTCCTGCCTCAGCCTCCCGAGGGCTGCGATTACAGGTGTGCACCACCATGCTTGGTATTTTACTAAATTTTATTACAATGGATGTAACCCACAGGTCAAGGTGCACACCTGTAATCCCAGTAAGGCAGGAGGATTGCCATGAGTTTAAGGCCAACCTTGGCTATGTAATAAGACTATCTGTAAAGAACCAGGTAACAAAACTAAAGATGTATTTCCCCTTTTGGTAGCATTCCATAAAATGGAACCACTTTTAACTGTTTGAAATGCACATTTTTTTTTTTTTTTTTTTGAGACAGGGTCTTGCTATGTAGTTCAGGCTGGCCTTAAACTCAAGGTGATCCTCCTGCCTCAGCCTCCCAAGTGCTGGGATCACAGGCGTGTGTCAGTGTTATGGCAGAATCAGCCTTATTAGTGATGCAGGAATGAGAATGGTACTTGGGGAAGTGGGAGGACCCAACCTTTATTAGCCGCTGTGATCCATAAGGATTACGGGCTCCAAAATCTGGGGGAAATTTTATACTACAGATGAAATTGGGTTGGGCTCGGTCTGGTGGGGCAGAGCAGAGTTACGGAAGCTGAAGTCAGCAAGCGTGGTGTCCTGAGGTTACAAGTGTGCCGGCGAGATTAGTGCGAACACCAAGCGGGTACAGACCAACCCAGAGCAGTACTGTTGGGAGAAGCTGGGGTCTTGCACCCTGAGGCAAGAAGTGGGGCCTGGCAGGAAGTGGGGGCTCTAGGTCCTTATCATAATCCCTCTTCCTGTCCTCCTCTCGGTCCGGGAAGCTTATGTTTGTGATCCCATGGAAACGTTATTGGAATCCTGGTAAGTTAATTCTGTTCCACCACCTCCAGTGCAGCCCATGGCAAGAGCAAAGACACTGAGACATATTTACAGGGACAGGCAGCCAAGGGGTCCCGAGGCCGGTCCAGATGGGGTTCAGGGAACAAAGGCCTCGATCCAGGGCCTCACCCAGAATATATTAATTCCTGAAAAAGGGAGTAGCTCAAGGAGGAGTGACAGGGAGAAAGGCGGGAAGTAGCGAGTGCTGTGAGGTGGGCTGGTGAGGCCAGAAAGCACCTCTGCAATGTGCAGAGAGAGGAGTGTGCAGAAAGAAAGACCAATTTGCACAACACAGCTTCGGCAGCAGCTAACGTCTAGGGACTGGTGCTTCAGCTTTTATCTTGAGGCTTGAACCCAGCTGACAGCCTCAGAGCTGTGTGGCTCTGTCATCCCTCTGGGCTCAACCTTTTAGAGGGAAGCACAGGCAGGGAAATGGGGCTGTCAGCTTGGCTTCAACCATTACCCATCAGCACCTGGACCGGCCCTATTCACACTGGTGAGAGCCAACCAAAGGGTGAAGGAAGCAGCTCTGTGCATATCAGTATGCGGAGATGGGGCTGGGTTTAGCTAAGGTGGAGATGACCACTCTGTGTTGAAGGAGAGCCGTCCAGTGCCCCCACTCTTCCTGACTCTCCTTATTCCCACCACAGACTGACCTGCACTTTTATCTGTGGTGACAAAATATTTTCACCCTCGCATTTTTAGGCAAATGGCTCTTGTATTTCACAAGAGGTTGGAGAAGACTCTCAACATTAGTGCATATAGATTTACTTCCTAAGAGCTGCTTAGAATTATGTTTGTATCAGAATTTGTTTACCCCTCCTATTAACGGACATTTTATTTCTTAATTTACTTCTAAAGCAAAGGACTTTTGTATTTGAGATGCTATGCAGTCCCTGCTGGCCTTGAATTCCCTAGGCAGCCCAGGCTGGTCTCCAACTCCCAGCGATCTTCCTGCCTCAGCCTCCCAAGTACTGGCATTATAGGTGTGTGCCACCACACTGGGCTTGAAACGTGCACTCTGATGGTTCTTTCTTGTCATGGAAACCAGTTCTCCACTGTGTCCTCTTCACAATTCTGCCGAGATTTAACACCTTCCTAGGAGTTAGAATGTTTGACTCACCTAACTGAGAGGTTAATGGATGACATTTTTGAGGATCCTAGCAGTCACAGCTAAACCTGGCGAGCGTCAGCTAAGGGAAGTCAGCTGGACACAGGAGGACAAAGACCTGACTGGATCTTGGATTGGAAGTAGCTGGGAGCAGGTGGGAGAATCCCTGTGGGTGGGGGTGCAGCTTCATTCTGGATTTTAAAAACCTTTAACTTTGAAATGTAAGAAGCTCGCAGATAGTTGCAAAAGTGATACAGAAGATTCCTTGTAGAACCTCATGGGTGGAAGATACCCACGGTGACATCTTCCATGTGCATGGCACACGGGCGTTCAGCAGTTTTCTCAGTCGGTTAGCTGAGTCCCTCCTAAGGAGGAAGCTCAGCTTGCTTCCGGCGCCCAGATTCCCAGCCTGCTGTGTGTAACTCTGCACATCCACCCTCTCTCAGTCGGCTTTTTCACACCACCCTTGGATGAAATGCTACGCACTCTCACATCCCAGATTATCGAGAGCAGAGTGTAAGAGAAACACTTGGAAACACACGGCCTAACTGCTCCGGGTGTCGTGTGAGGGTAATCCTAGCTCTCTAGGAGGCTGAGGCAGGAGGATCACAAGTTGCAGTGTAACCCAGTAGTGTAAGTGACAGGGAGTCCTGCCCCCAAATAGCTACACACTGGTGCAGCTCGGCATGAAGGCTCTGGGAAGCAGAGGCAAAGGCAGTGACAACAAAAAAGCCCGCTGCCTTTTACTGGTTTGGAGAAAAGGCACACAATGAAGAAATTGCCAGACCGTCACAGGTTTCAAATGATCACACTGTACCCCGTGAACATGCACGATTAAAATAAATTTTATTTA